TTGGGATTCCCATAGAAAAGCGTCATTTTCATGATTTATTTCATGAGCCATTTTGGTGATAAAAGCTTGTATTTTTGTTTTGGTTTTTGTGAGTATAAGCTAAGGGTTTTGGTTGTGAAATAAGGGTAGTGAGAAATAAAGGGTGCCTTTGTTAGGATATATATAGAGAGAGGGGGGAACAAGGCGTTTTACAAAGGTGGCAAATGTAATTTTTTTTTTTTTTTTTTTTGTGTGTGTATAGAAATTAAAAGCTACAAAGGAAATATAATAAATGACATTTTAAATTATTAAATTGTTACATAATTTAAAATTATTACCAAAATTTTAATTACCAACAAAGCCAACTTACTTTTGTGTACGATCAATAATAGATGTACTACTAGTCGTATATGCACACGATACATGTGTCTATTACGTAAAAATTTAATATTCCATAATATTTATATAAGATTAAATAAATATATAGAAAATAGTATCAAATAAATAAACAATTTTTCAAAACTCCCTTCTTTAAGAATACACGCATTATTCGATATAAATAAATTAAAATATTTATCATAATTCTTTATACTCAAATTATTCAAGAAAGCAACCTTTACTAATTAGATTCTTTTGTTCTTTTACGTCACCTCTAGTTTTCTTATACGAGTACAATCGAGATTAGTAAGAATTAAAAGATTGTTAAGTAAAGAAAAGACCTCTCCCCTCCCATTGTTTTAGTTTCTCTAGTCATTTAGGTTAGAAGCCCTCTAACTATTCCAGGATTAGACTATTTTTTACCTCTTTTTTTTAGTTTAATTCAGTCTTATTTTTTAATAAAAAAGTTATTAATAAATCAGCACAATTTGAGTGTAGTTTGTTGTACGTACATTTCCCTATGGAGGAGTTGATGACGTTCATCAATTTTGTAATAGTACAAAGTAATAGTAGTACGTTTTCCCTTGGTGGATAATCATGATCGAGAATTAGGTTGTTGGTAAAAAATTATGTTTGCAACACTTTTTAAGTTTGTATATACAATTAGATGATCTACAAAAATAGTGCCAAATTACAACAAAAATTGGCTAATCATCTTTTTAAAAAGAGAGTGAAATACAACTATACAAGTATGCAAGAAATATCCTACAGTGTAAGATCTTCTCAAATGACAACTATTTTTTGTTTGATTCAATGTGTTACGAATTGATTAAGTTTACGTTGTTTATAAGTCATATGATTTTTTTTTATTTTTTTTATAATTATTGACGGATTCACTCAAAATTAAAAATAAATAAATTAATAATAAATACAGAGCACAAATGAAAAATCAAAATACAAAGAGTATTGGCAAAGGTGGCCGTTTTTTCGGGCTAGAAACAACTAATGCGTAAATTTGAGAGTTTTCTCAACTGTTGGTGAGTGGGTCCCATATAAAACAACTCCCTCCATCTGTTTCTGTTTAGGAAACCAGTTTGCTATTCAACGACAATTTTTTTTCTTGTCCAAATGTGGAAATTATTTCCAAATGCTACTTAAGGAGTAAATCATTGATGATTGTTGCATAAATGTCTCAAGATTAATCTTCAATTCTGTTCACTTGACAAATTATTATCTAAACTTATTAGCTCTCATAATCATCTAACTTTGTTGTTCTTAATCACATTTAATTAAATTGTTTATTGCAATTTGTAGCTGTAAATTAAACTTAAGTAACGTTTCTCTAGCTTAACTGGCTTTTACTGTTATTGCCTTTATAACTGATCTAAGCAATTAATTTTACCAGTATGGAAAATGCATGTTCACGTTTGCCTTCTCCCCCTAATAGCAGTGATTGAGTGGCCAAGATATCAAATCTTCTCTGGTCATGACTCAGCTCTAACCAATAAACTTTCATAGTAGCTAAATCTTATCTGTCATTATCACCTTTATAAGCAGTTATATTATATAGTTTTTTTTGTTCTTCTCCTGTAAAGTTAATATTAATGGACAAATGACGTGGTGTAAATTTAGAAGAAATAATTGATATGTTTATTATGTTGCCTTTTTGTTTCAAAAATGTCCCTCTTATATTTGAGTATGATCATTTGGGCTTAGATCGATGTTGGATTGACCCGTGATAGACCAATACTTATTGATTTTATTTGAAATAAACAAGTTAGTTTGGCTAGTCGGACTAGGCCATAGGGGGCTAAGGCAGTTCAAGTCACTATTTATTTCAATTAAATCGATTTATTTGACTACTCAGTTAAATTTGACATTTGGGTCAATTAGGGTTTGAGTTAATCTGGTCCTGGACTCCAGGTTGTAAACAAGTTAAAGGGGGTTATAATACGGTTTATATCATTTTCTGGTTGCTAACGAGCGAGCATATAGCTTAACATGTCATAACTGAAATTATCTTTGTTAAATTTAAATTATTTTTTATTGAATTGAAATTATTTTTAACTGATTTTTTTTTTCCGATCCTGTATTATATGACATTATTTAAGTTATTAATTTTTACTGATTAAATTTATTTTTGCTGAAATAAAATTATTTTTACTACATTTTAGAGTGAAGAGAACATTTTTTTTAACTACATTTTAGAGTGAAGAGAACATAGCATAGCCTAAGTCTGAAATAAATTGTTACAAATCAAATATTCCTTTGGAAGTAATAATTTTTTTTTAATGTGAATACTTTTCTTGTTTCTACAGATGGTCGGTGAAGATATGGGTTTTGAAAATATCACAACTCACAACACATAATTTGTCTTCACTTGACAGTTTCAAAAATAATTCATCATGAGTAATATAAAAGTATATATTGAATATACTTCCCTAAACAAACTTCAATTAATAAATTTCTTTCAAGTGGTTTTCCTAGGGATTTTAGTTAGATAGCTTTTCATAGGGACATGATGTAATATGTCATATGTGACAAGTGTTAAGTTGTTCTAGTACTTGTATTATTATAAAACATGGTTTTTGGTAGGGGTAAAAGTTTGATTTTCGTTTTGAATCTAGCTTTTAATTCGAATTAAAATTTTAAATTTTATTCTAATTTTATATAATTCGATAACGTGTAATTTATTAAAATTCAATTTTTATATTTTTGTAAAAATTAAAAATTAATTATATTAACCGATTAGCGTTACAAAAAATATTTTATGGAAAAAGAAAAGGACGCATTTAACATTTAAACAAAATCACAATGAATTGCCTATACTTCCTTTCAACAATTTTCCTTAGAATAAGAAAATCAGAAATTCTAACAAGCACGTGTAAACATCTTGTTTAATTAGCTTTACTTTTCTTTGGCAAACCATGATTAATGATTTCCTCAAATTCTCAATAAACAACAATATGTGGGCACCAGGATGGCCCATCCAATTTGATTGTCTAAATCATTTAACCCAACCCATCAAACATCACACCTACGGCCCAAACCCCTTATGCCCTTTAGTGAAATTAATTTTTTATTTTATTTTTTATTGTTTAGAGAGCCATAAGGGCGGGGTGAGAATCGATCCCAATATCTTTTGGAACCGGGAAGAAAGCTCTAACCACTTGAGCTATCCTTCACTCTCAGTGAAATTAATCTTTGTGATCCTTAATTCTCAATGAATTCATGCTCTTACAAATTTCTCAAATTTTAATGAAAATTTCATAATTCTACCCACTTTCTCTCTCGATCCATTCAATTCCCAACATACATCAATTTATAACTCAAAATCAATTTAATTGTTTTTCCCTTTAATTCTATATCAATTGTGAGAAATGATAAATACTATAATAACTAGGTTTTGGTTCTTCACTTTTTTGGGTTGATTTGGGGTTACGACTTGTGAGATTGATGAAGTTCACTATATCAATGGGCACAATGACAATGTCAGAACTCTTGAGTAATTTTTTTATATATTTTTTTTGTCATTATGTGATGTCGATCTTTATTATTTTGATTTGTTTGATTGATTGTACAATTTTTTCATGACTATTGTTAATTTTGTGTTGATTTTGATATTCTTTTTTGCATATGTAGCTTAATTACTTTTGTGAAAAAAAGGGTCACTTTTGGAAAAAAAAAAGGGTCACTTTTGGGAAAAAAAAGGGGTCTCTTTTGTAAGAAAAAAAGGTTACTTTTCGCAAAATATTTGATGTACAATAAAATTATTGTAAACCGAGGGGCATACAAAAGTTTTTAAACTTATAATGCTTACAAATTTTACTTTAAACCGCTATTTTCTTTTTACTAAGGCATAAAAAGCATGTATCATCATCATATAAAATATTATTGAACTCGTATATCAATGTGTAATTTCAAATCATCAATCTTTCATATTTTATTCTTAGAAATCATTAGTGTTTTTTTTTCCCCTTCAAAAAGCATCTTATTCATTCAATTAAAGGCTTGATTAGTTGTCTAAAAAAAAAGAGGCTTGATTAGTAGTTTAAGGGTTTGTTCTCATTGACTGAACTAAACTAAACTGAAATGAATATTTTATAAGAGAAGGAAATTAGAAGCTGAACTGAACTGAATTTCAATGTATGAGAACAGTACCTAAATTATCAAAGTTGTATATTAACAAATACACAGATCAAAGTGGGATAATGTTTAGCCAAGTTAAATAAAGTTTACCATGGCATCAAAGATTCAAAGGCACCAAGCCACCTTTAGTACTCAGGCCCATTTAATACACTGTCTTACGTATGAGTGGGAGTGTAAAAATTTAGGCCCATGTGAAAATTCAAACATTGAACACCAAACTAAATACTCAAGAGTTGACTCATTACATACTTCGTACTTGATACTATAACATAAATTCCAAAATTCATATCTATAATAATGTTCAACTCTATTAATTTGTATAGTATATATCAATCATTAATCACCATATCATTGATTAGCTAGCCAATCAAATAATGCATAATAAGTAATAAGTAAACAAAATAAAGAAGACATTGAAGCAAATATTCAGCAATGAATTATTCTTGCCATATTAACAATTATAATTTACTAGCTACATTAGGTAATATCAAGTATCAACGACCTTGGGAGCAATCCTCGTTTCCAAATTGTAGTTGCTTATTTGGAATATCATATATTATACGATGATCTACTTGGTGGTCAGATCCTAATATGCTTAAACTACCAGCATCTTGTGTACTTTCACCAATAGTCAAGCAATGTAAGCCAAAACCACTTTCGTCATAAAAAAAAAGTAAATACTACATCAGGACTCATTAAGAATTTTGCATTATTAGCAAACAACCATGTAACCCAAGGAAGTAGTACGGTTGGCGGACCACGTACACGTCTATAACAAAGGTCGTACCCTGCGTTATGAATTCTAGGATCATCAAATCTTACCACATTTGTGTTACTAGATTCGATATGTGCTGCTACCTCATCTTTGAAGACACGGTAGGCCTCCGTGGTTAGACGACTATAAGGTGTGCCTGTGTCGATGATGCATCCTCCATTTCCGTCTTCCTTAATATCAAACACGCCACTAGGAAGTACAAGGTCCTTGTTACCTACCCTAATGCCGCGGAGGTCTAAGTAGTAGTAAGAAGGTTGTTTTGGATTTTGTAACATTGGGACGGTACTAAGCGTTGATACGGGTGGTCTAACATCGTCTCCAAATCGAAGGTACATTGGTGGCACAGTGCCTTTTTGAAACTTTTGTAAGCAATATGAGAATTTTCCCTTAACTAGACTCTCTGCTTGTTTTATGAAGCCCAAGTCGCCTAAACTCATTCCAAATATTCCACTAACCTTATTGTTTTCATCATCACCTGCATTACAACACAAATGGTATCTCAAATTATTTATATGTCAAAGTTAAATAGGATATAATTACTTTTAACATGCATAACCTTCGCCTATCAAGAAAATTAACTATTATTATTTGTTTCAATCAATTCTATTCAATTGGTGTTTAATTTGATTTTCAATAAATGACTCTATGATGTTTATAATGTTGCCATGTTAATCAAAGAAATGATATATAGGAGATCAAAAAAACCAAATGACCATCGATAATTAAAGGCCAAAAAGGTATCATCAATATGATTAAATTAATTTAATCATTCTAAGACTATAGATTACTATATTTTCAACAGAGAATAAATGTAACTTGTATATATGCTAATTTTGAATAATTATATTTGATTATAAAATTATATGTAGTATTTTAGAAAGAAATAAAAATATATAAAAAGATAAAATGGTTTAAAATTTCACATTTGGTTTCGCTTTTAATATAAATTTAATTGATTAAATGATTTTGGCATTATATACGGTGTTTTAGAAGTAGTGTACCTTCTTAAAATTTTAAAAAAAATTATAAATAAAAAGTAATAATGGTATTGATACCTTCACTAAAGCCTTGCATGTCGATACCGCAACCAAAAATAGCTTCGTCCAGGGCTAGAAGATCAGGGTCAGACTCGAGGTAAAATGTTTCACGAGCCGCAATGGCGACAACGACGCTACCATCTCCATACCGCCGCGACAACCTACAAGTATTGTCCACACATTCTCCGGTAGGAGGACACTCGGAGCAAGGGAGTTGACTATAACTTTGAGATTGACTTGCAGGATAATAGGGAATTATTTGATGAAAGCAATTTACACAATTTTCACATTGAGTCCAAATTAAGCCACTTGCAGTATCAATTCCTAAATAAATATATTGAAATTTTGAAGAATCATCAAATGTGCCAATTCCCAATTGAACATAGTGAATATAATCATCTATTCTCATTGGTAGTCGTACTACATCATCATTAGGGTTTATAGTTTTGTCACTGCTTTTATTATTACCTAGTCTTGCAAGTGACTCGAGTCTACGGTTGGACAATCGAATGTGCTCCTTCCTTCTTGTCGCGTCTGTAAGGTTTGCTCTATACAAAGGTGACTCAGGAGAGTCTCGATGAATTAGCCTAAGGCTAAAACCTCTGTGAATGTGGGTGGTAGTATTGTTGTTAATAGTAGCATGGATATTTTGAAAAAGATTACCTAGGAAAAGTAGGATAGTAATTAGTGAAAAATAAGCTAAACCTTTTGGATTAGCCATTGAAGCTAAGCTAGTTTGTTGAAAGAAAATGTACTAGTGCAAAAAATTGGTGAAATATGTATGATTATAATTTTCATATACATACTACTACTTTATATACCAATATACCATGTATCCATATTATGATTATTTTACTTATAATTGCTGTAATAATCTTTTATTGTGTAGAATTCCTTCTAAATTTATTTGGTGAAATCTTCATTCTTTAATATTTTCTATCCTGAGGGAGGGATCATTTTTTTTTTTGGATAACAATCTTTCTTTAATAGGTGATGGTCCTACTTTATTTCTTACAATTACATTTTCAAATTCTTTGAACTTTTCATCTCCCCTACTTCCGGTTTTCCACCTCTATGAATTTAATATTCATTGATGAAAATTTTCTTTACTTTTAGAATCGATCACATCATAATCTTTTTACAAATTTAGAATGTTTCTTCAAAAAAAAAAAATTAAACTATAACGGTAATAATGACGGGACGAGCAAAATTGACCGAAAAACCGAAAACCAATTCATAACCAATCCAAAAATTAGTGTACACTTTGATCCGAAATGGACTTGGCTTTGGCCCAGCTCAACCCAAAGCTCGATCCGAAATGGGCCATCTATTTTGTATAGACTCTGTCCACCCCATAACCCATCTATTTTGTATAGGCGCTGTCCAGCCCATAACCCAGTCTTGATGTAGTAGTACTGTGGTAGGTCCAATGTTCAAAATTCTAACACATGATCTTCTCTTTTCTCATCATCTCATGCATTAGTTAGTTGTAGAACTTTGCATTTGTCTTCACTTAAAAATTCGCCTACAACTGTTTTATAAGGGCTTGTTTACTTTAACTTAATTTCAATTCAGTTTAGCTTCAATCTGTTCAGTTCAGTTTAGCTCAGCTCTTGATTTCCTTCTCTCATAAAATATTTATTTCACCTCTATTCAGTCTAGTTCAGTTTAATTCAGCTCCAATCAGTTTGGTTAAGTCAAGTTTTAATCAGTTTAGTTTAGTTCAGTTCAACTCAGTTCAGTAAATGTGAACAAGCCCTAAGGGCCTGTTCTCATTGACTGAACTGAAGTGAATATTTTATAAGAGAAGGATTTTAGGAGCTGTACTGAACTGAGTTGAGCTAAAGTGAACTGAAAATAAACGTATGAGAACAGGTCCTAAGTCATGTGAAAAATCTTCCCTGTCTTTCAAGCAATCAAAATTATGAATTGATTTTTGTTTTTAAAAATAAATTCCAAAACTCCCTTATTTTACCCCTTTGTGAGATCAGAGGACTGTTATGCCACTTGGTACAATGCATTAGAAAAGTAGGGATGAGCATGGGACGGGTACCCGTACCGTTAGTACTAACGGTTCGGGTACCCGATAACCAAAATTACTAAAAGTAATACCCATAACCGGAACCGATAAGTTTGGGCACCCGGATTTTCGGATCGGTTATCGGGTACCCAATAAGATATCTAATAATGATAATTAAACTTAATTATGTAGTTATTGTGATATAATTTACAACTAATTAAAAACAATACCATATGATCTTGACCAAATTATTAATAATATTACTAATCCTTGATATTATAAAGTGATTATGAAGTAAAGCAAAAGTTTAGATTTATATTAATAGATTTAAGTAGGGAAAAAAAGCAAAAAAAAAATGCTTATTGGATCGGATCGGGTAACCGTTAATTTTAAAATGATACCCATAACCATAGCCGATAAAAAAATATCGGAACGGGTACCCGAACCGTTATGGTTATCGGGATCAGGTACCCTAATTTTCGGAACGGTTACGGATCGGTTTTTTGGGTTTTCGGTTTTTCGGGTAGTGTTGCTCAGCCGTATAGAAAAGTTCCGGTCTTGATCATGCAAGGTTGCTAACACTTACTGGATCCTCCAATTAGGTTAACCCGGCTCTTGAGCTCTCGCAAGTCCTCCAGCTAAGGTTTAAGTAAATGTTGTGGGAGTTAATCGTGTAACAACATTGTAGAGTAAGTATAGGCCACACTTGGTATAGTCCTTACCAAATTATTTTTTTGTTTCTATTTATAATGTTATTTTTGATTTTATACGTTTTTTTTTTATAATAAATATTGTTATTATTCTAGCGAGATTTCCGATGGAGAAATAGGGAAAGAGAAAAGAGCATATTTATTACTATATCGTTATTGTTAATTTATATTGTTATTGTTGTTTTTATACTATTTTCGCCTCTTGGTATGGTCCATACCTGGTAATGGTCCATCACGCCTCCAATATTGTATAATTTTGCCAACTAAACAACGTGTATCATATAGCTTCTAAAGGCTAAATCGACTCATAGTTTAAGATAATTAATACGATGAGTAACATCATAAATATGTAGACGAAGGAAAGTTAAGAGGGAATGAAGTAGGACTAAAGTCAAGATCAAAGTGGAAAGGAGATCATATGTTAGGCCGACAGGGAGTTGGTAAATGGTTGGTAAGGCAAGAGGACCAGGCCTTTTTTTTGTTCTATGGAAAGAGTTGGTGGCCACCTTCTACGGATTTTTTTTTTTTTTTATACAAGTACTTTTTTTTTTTTTGCACGTATATTCATTTTTATTTGCAATTTTCATTGCCTTACAATATTTTGGTACGGCGGATATTGTTTGGTCAATTGTAGGCTGCGCTGCTTAATATTTTCCCTATTATAATTTTCTATTTTTCTCTTTTTAAATTTTATAAATTATATTCATTAGAATTGCAAATAAGTATTGAAAAAAAGGAGTAAAATAGACGTCACAGATTTTAAATTTTTTTTTTTAAAAAAATTACCACACTAAAACAATGACTCATGAGACCAAAAATGATACCCCTATAAATTGAAGCAAGTAAGTTATTTGCTTAATTCTTTGACTATTTTGATTGTTCATATTTTGACTTTAATTCTTTAATTCCCAGTGGCTTGCAATTTGCAAAGTTAAAATTTTAAATGGTTGATTGTCTAGTTGTTTGCAATATTGTTTTGATGAATATTTCTTTGGAGGATAGTATGTTGTGTAAGTCTTAGCTTCTTAATAGGAGATTATTCTACATGGATCATTTTATATATGGTTTACTGTACCTATGATAAATACATTTTACATAAATTTAGTTGTGTATAGTAGTTGTTAAAATTGATATTGCCACAAGTCAATGCATTTTATTTGGAACGGATGATTCAATAGATAGCTTTGAGAATTTAATTTTAAAATAATGTCTTCATGAAAAGATTAGAGAGTAGTAGTAGTATATACTCTGTATTTCAGTTATTTTTCTAAAGTATACTTCGTAATGAATTATTATATAGTACAGAGTAATATGAAACAACTTGAAAGACTTACACATATACGGAGTAATTATTTTCACATTTATGATGATATAAGCCCATTATATGAATTTTGAACTTAATTTTTTTTTGTAAGGAAGAACTTATTTTCTTAAAATAAGGTGAATAAAATAAATAAATCCTCCGTAAATAATACAGTACAAATTACAATGTATACTAGGAGATAAAATTTATTTAATTGTCTTTTCCAGTAATAGTTCAACATCTTCTTTTGTTTGTTTTGCAGTTGTCAAATAAATAAAATAATTTTTATTATAACAAACAATGCTATTCTAGATTTATGTTCATAAAAAATATTGAGTATGTAAAGCATTTTTTTTTAATTATTTGAGTGGAAAAAATATGTCAAGTGTTAAAGATTTATAATTTAAAAAATAAAATTCTCCATAATATTCAATTCAAGATACAAAAATATAATTGTATAAATTTTTTAGTGCATGTGACCATGTGTTGGACACTTCAAGCGAAGCTCCATGAAAATGTAATGACATTTATCCCACCACCCCACCACATGGGTCCACCCACCTCTACTTTTCTTTTCACCAACCACAACCGGTCCAACCCTCCAATTATACCATTTCATTTAAATAAACCGGACTAACCCGGTTCATATATTCCATATATATAAGCAACGTAAGCATTTGTACACCATTAACTTCAAAAGTCATAGAGTTGATTAGCAAAATTAATCACAAAACAAATCAAGATTAAGGCTTAAGTAAAGAGAGTAATTCATAAAAATGGCTGATGTTGTAGTAGAGAAGCAAACCACCAATGAAAGTCAACAAGAACAACAAAAAACTACAGAAATCAAGCATTCTGAAGTTGGTCATAAGAGTCTCCTTCAAAGTGATGCCCTTTATCAGGTATTAATTTCTTGATCTAAATTATAATTTCATATCATAAATTATTTTATAATATGGTTTTCATATTTGTTATTTTTCAAATTTGTGCAGTATATTCTTGAGACTAGCGTCTACCCAAGAGAGCCAGAACCCATGAAGGAGCTTAGAGACATCACTGCCAAGCACCCATGGTATGTGTTTTACTATATCGATTTCGATCTCGATTTTATTTACTTCGGGATTTAGTTGTCATGTTACTAGTTCAAATTACACTATTATCAATGAGATCGATATTACTACGAAATAAAATTAATATTTTATTTTGGGATTGTACCAGGAATCTTATGACAACATCTGCAGATGAAGGGCAGTTTTTGAGTATGCTTCTAAAGCTGATTAATGCAAAGAACACAATGGAAATCGGTGTTTACACTGGTTACTCTCTTCTTGCTACTGCTCTTGCTCTTCCTGAAGATGGAAAGGTAATTAATTAACAAATGAATTTACCTTATCCTAAGATTACTAAATATGAATATATTTCCTTAATCTTGTTTAATGGTTATTTTAGTGAATAATTTCAATTTTGTTTCTAATTTTAGTAGAATTATGATGATTGTATTTATGGGTGGATTCCAGGTTTGGTAAAATTGATTTAATTTTTGCAGATTTTGGCAATGGATATAAACAAGGAAAATTATGAATTGGGTTTGCCAGTAATTCAAAAGGCTGGAGTTGCCCACAAAATTGATTTCAGAGAAGGTCCTGCTTTGCCTGTTCTTGACGTAATGGTCGAAGATGTAAGTATTGAGTAATGTATTTTAATTTTTTTGGATGAAACCAGATTTATTTTTGCTGCAACTGTTGTAAATCATGTGATAAAACGGATAGAAATTGATGTTTTTGGTATAATGTATGTGTCAGTTATTTTTAGAGATTAGGGGAGTCAATAAATTGGGTAGACCGATGTTAATACGGTCAAAACTAAGTTAATGGTAGAAAATATGTTGGTAGAAGGCAAAATTAGTACTACAAGCTTGAATGTTTTATACCTTAAAGTTGGTCAAGATTCATTGATTTGGGTAGTTGTACATGACATACCTTGAATGAACTCTTTCTTAAAGGTTTATTTTAGGAGATCTTTTAGCTTGACTAGATGTGGTTGAGGAAAGGGCTGATAAGGTGATCTGGTGATCATTTGACTAGCCTAGGAAGTATTTGAAATCGCTACTGAAATCACCACAACCATTTTAGGTATCACCGGAATTTTGTACCTTCACAAATACAAGTATTTAAAGTAACATGAGTACCATTGTCCAATATTATGAATTCCAATTTCCATCGTTTTCGGATAGTACAAGTGTTTGAATGTAGGAGGATGATCTAGTATGCACATACAGATTAATAACTTGCCTAATCTTGTGATTTTTTATCCAAAGTGTATAAAAATGTCACATTGTTGTTGGTTAAGACGGGGACCATGGTCTTGGTGGCCATGTATTATGCCCATCACCAAATGGAGCACTTAGAGGCATGCAGGAGTAAGTGCTCAAATACAATATGGTAATAATATAAGATTAGTGTCTAGATGTCAAGCCGTAATGATCCCGATGAGTTGTAACTTGTAAGAACACATATATACATCGCATGCACCGACTAGTTCATCCATCAAGTGGGTAGGATATTCGGTATTGTAAATTTTAAAAATTGCACATCACCTTGGTCTCTTTGGATCTATGCATTGAATCTAGTTGGAAATGTTCTTTAGTGGGGAAGAAAAAAGAGTTTTTGTTTGTTTCATGCAACTTCATGTCAAGCTTTTGGATTCATGTGTGATTATCTGTGTGTCTTTAATTGAAATGGTCAGACATCATTGTTAATTATGATCGTTTTTATTAAGCTATTTAATATCTTTCACTCATAATGCATTTCGTAAACTAATACTTCTTATCATGACTTGTTGGCCTAGCTAATGTGGGGGTTGTTTAACTAACTTTTATGGTGACTGAAAGGGGCTTATGTTGAATTGCTTGCTACTAAACCAAGGAGATTTTTGATCTAAATGATTAGCTGTTGAGATTTAAACCACGGATCTTGAAATCTACTCTCAATAATTGAGTGATTAATTTATAAAATATGTAATTTGAGGCCGAAGATATTTGTGTCTTGTCTATTCTTATCACCTAAACATTATCGAACTTGAGATGTAGACAAGAAGTCAATAACTACTTGGTTGGCATCATTTACAAGTAACATGAACTTCCCAACCATGATAATTGCACGTTCAAACTTTGCTTTCATTTTTAATAATATGTTCTAGGTAAAGAAATTAATGATTCCATCATTTAAAATTGACAGCCAAAGAACCATGGATCATTTGATTTTGTGTTCGTGGATGCTGACAAAGACAACTACTGGAACTACCACAAGAGGTTGATTGATCTAGTGAAGATCGGAGGAGTGATCGGATATGACAACACCCTATGGAACGGATCTGTGGTTGCACCCCCAGATGCTCCCATGAGGAAGTATGTTAGGTACTACAGAGACTTTGTGTTGGAGTTCAACAAATCTATCGCGGCTGATCCTAGGGTGGAGATTTGCCAACTTCCTGTGGGTGATGGAGTTACCCTGTGCCGCCGAATTAGCTAATTTGTTCCCACTCTTACAAACCAACCCTTTGGGCCTTGAGAATATTTTCAGCACTAAATGCATATTTTCTTGTTTTGTTAAGTTTTTGATTTGTACCTGTATAATTTTAATCATTGTAATATGGACCAACCCGAAAAAAAAGAAAGAGTTGTGATACGTGGGCCTAGGCCTAATAAATGAAGGTTTCGTTATCGTTAACCAGTTGCCCTTTTGAATTTTCAACCTTAGTCAAGTGACTCAAGTGACAGAAGTGGTAATGTGGATTGTGGAATTATGTAATGAAATTAGTAGATTATTTTAATCATTCACCAAAAAACAGAAAAAGGTAATTGAATCTTTATTATTCCTTTAATTCTTGTACTATGGAGTATGTTCCAAAACAGTACGTATTTTGTATTTGAGCGTCCCGTTTATAAAATTATACGGAATAATGATTTGTGGACTTACTTTGGGTACAAAAAACAAGTTTATATAATACCCCTAAGCCCTAAAGTCAAATGTATTAAAGATTATACCTAAATACCTAATTTTAGGTGCTTACAAATGATGTACCTAAATGCCTAATTGTAGGTGCTTACAAATGATTTAAGAACTTGTAATTAATAAAGATATTTAGAAAGCATATTAGCTACATGCCTACATCTATAAGCAATCATTGATATCACATACTCTTGATACTTGTAAGCTTGTAACCAATGGCTTAACGATGATAAACACATCTCATATTAGAATTTTGAGCCTAGTATAAACGTTAATCACTAGATAATTGCTACTGTCAAATTGTACCCAAGAGTATGTTCATGCGTTTCTGAAAATGAATTTATAAAAACTTGAGTTTCACCATTTCATTAACATAAGGACAAAAGAAATTGAACACTATTTTGAAGAAAAAAGAAGAAGAAATGTTTAGTTAGGCAATTACCATTTCTATATTTGAGGCAACTACTGTATCAATTTTTCAAAAATTTAGAGTATACACTTTCTTATTAGAGATGGGAATGGGCCACTAGCACGAAATGGCTCGACTTGACACGAAATCATTATGAATATGGCAAGCTAGGTAGCTGTTTAATTCGCTTATGTTTAATTGATGTATCCCAGAAAAAATTAGGTGGCTTGTTAACACAACACGACATACAGGGGCAAGTTATGCATGAATTCCGTTTATAAAAAATTGGCACGAGCCTAACACAATAAATCTATCTCTTAAAGAGTTCACCCATTTAAATATGAGATATGCTAACACGATATAAAACCTACCCAACACAGCCCATGTCCATCTTTAGTTGCCCGGACCTTAATTATGACTCTATGAGTAGAACACAATTTCAACTACTCCGCGAAACCTTTAATCCTTTAAATACTCCTCCCCCTTTTCTGCCCTATAACTATCTCTGATTCATTCTTTTTCCCCAACCATCACCGGAGCTCTAGAAATGTCAATTTCCAATCACATTATACCGTCGAGTTTTACGGCCACCAAATTATCAGCTACCATTTTACACCACCGCAATCAAACACCGGTCCAATCAGTTTCAACTGTTGTTTGCTGTCTACGGAATCCTCCGGTTCATGCAACGGAAGCCAATGGTCATCTGCCGTTGGATTGAGCCTCAAAGTCAACGGCGATAGTCTTAGCTCTCAAATTCAAGCCTATTATGAAACGCTCGTATCGTTGAAGTGCGAAAATGGTTAGTTACTTTGATTTTTGCCTTAGTTTTTTTTATATTTTATTTTTAGAAACTGTGGATGATTGAAGATATAGATATAATTGAATTGTGTTGTTTGATGAATTGGATGAAGAATTGATCTAATTTGAGGCACATTTTGACCTTGTTGTCTGTGAAGCATTTTATCGAACAGTTTGTGTGCATTGCTGAAACTTAACAATTTGTGTTTAACGATGATAGATCGGGACTTGATACAAACTATAGGCTATTTTGGTTGATTAGGATAGGATCAATCTTTTGTGGAAGGTGCAAGTGAGGAGTTATTGTATCATTCTGGATAGTCAATAGTTGATACAATGCTTCACTTGTTGCATTACTCCTAAGACGTGGTTCTGTTTGGTGGTCGAGTCGTTAATTAGTACAACGGATGAAAGCAGCAGAAGATGAAGAGGTGCAGAGTGTAGGATTGCAGGTTCTTACTTGTCTTGTTGTTTGGAAGCACAGTCTTAGGGAGTGATCAGGCAATCATTTACATCATATTTTTTTAATGATAATGCCCTTTCCATGGTTACATTGGCTGCTCTAGCTGATAATATAGCTAATGTCGGTCCCCTGAGTGTATGATGCGCTCACCTAAGCCTTATGGTCTCAGATAAAACACATCGAGGCCAATAGTCAGGCTTCTCAACTCTCAAGTCCACACTCAAGCTCACACTAAGGGGGCGTTTGGTATGAATATTGGAAATTCGGTGGAAAGGGAACAAATAAGTAGAAGAAAAGGAATCATTTATCCGTTACCTTTTCATTTCTTTGGTTTAAACACGGAAAGGAATCACTTAAGCCTAACTCTGTTTATTTTTGTTTGAGAATGGTAAGCAATTGTTACATTAGCTTTTAAAGAGGTAACAAATGGGTGGAAACCATTACATTAGGTAATGGTAATTGTTACCCAAGCCTTCTAACCAAACACTTGGTAACGGTAATGGTTTAATTGAATCCGTTTTCAACCCTAAAATACTCTTACCAAACATGCTCTAAGTGTGCTTAGGTGTAAGTAAAAGAACTTATATAGGGCCCTTGAAGAGTTGTTTTCGGCTGGCTCCACTGAATCTGGGATGATATGTTATGCTATCAAAAATCTTAGAAACACTAGGGGTGGCAAGCCTGTATTGCCAAGTGGCGTCAAGCAGTAAGAAATTGGCCTGCCACTTAGACTTCCTAATCATCTCGTGAAGCTACAAGTACCACTCATCATACCTAAATACCATCATACCAATCATTACGCTGCCAGGATTTGTAGCTTTTAGATGTGCATTCATCTGTGGTCATTAACTCATCATCACTTAGAATCTTTTCCATGAAGTTTTTGTAAAGATATGATTACAAGTTATACAAATTAACATACCTTATTCCATGACCATATTGGACATTATACAAGTGATACACATCAAGCTGGTAGATGGTCCGATAATTTTAGTTTTAGAGAACCATATGGTATATATAGGCCTTATTGTCTTGTTATATTGATCATCATGCTCTCGAATCAATGGGCCGATGGTGGTATATATAGTTATCCACTTTTTGGGGGCATTATGGTGACGTTTGTATTAGAAGAAGTTATAAGGTACATCCGTACATATAATGTTTGTGGTTGTTGGGTTGACATTGACATTTATAGGAAGTAAAAATTTCTATGAAGTAGGAGGAAGTGATTTTTGGCTCCAATTATCACGGGAAGATTGCAATTTCTATTATTGAATTCCCCCTACAATGAGTGAAAAACCCATCTGTACATTTTGATTAATAATTAATGATTCTTTAAGTTCCATTAGTGGGGTCGGCTACATAACCAACATGAGGACTTCTTAGGAGGTGACCCATCCTAGTACTACTCTCAATCATTGAGGCTCATGTCAAGCGATGTGACAAAGTTTTACACTAGGTGTCACTCCCTACCATAACCCTCCTACTTTATTCAGGCTTGTGACTGGCAGCGGAAAACCCATTGGCGGAGTTGGGGAACCTCTTATTATCAAACTTTTTTCTTCAATATTTGATATTTTTATTCAATTCCATCTTAGATTCCCTGCTTCTCAACTTTGATGAAATTCTGACTTCTGATCCAAAGCGTCAAAGTGCCATTGCTAACTCATTTAGTTGATCTTCTGGTGTGTTTGTCATACTTCCAAAGCAAGTATAGTGCAATGGACTAGCGTGAAGTAATTAAATTAAATGGACGAAAGGTTGATTTGGATAGAAAAAGCTTGAAGCTTTCGTACAATCGACAATGGCTTTAGTCCAGCACTCTCCAAGGACTCTCTAAAAATAATACTTTCTGTCTAATTTCTCTAGCTACTGCCCTCCTCTATTTAAACTATTACAAGTACTACACAAATGGCCAAAGGCCTTAATTGCCATTTTACTACAGCTTGTCCCGTAGCTAATTTACCCATAGTAAAACTCTAACTAACACAGCCTGCTAAACAGTGGACCGTTGCTGCTATTCTATTGCCTCTGTTGTTTCTGAATCTGTCCCCTGCCGTACACTAAGGTAACTGGTGGTGGGTGCATTGCATATAGATCACTGAATCAATTTCTTTCTCATTAAGCCATCTATTATAGTCAAGAGTTACTTGCATCAATCAAGGACTATGATTTGCTCTATTCGATATGCCTATGTATTATCTGTTATCTCTATCACCTTTTCATAGTAAATTCAACATAAGCTTGTTCTAACTCATACAAGCTGTTCATCATCACCCCATTAGATGTTTACATTTTTTTTTGGGTGCATTTAGGAATTTTGGACCTTTTTTTTGTTTGTACAGAGGAGCAGGGCCGTAGCATTGATTTTGGGGGCCCTGTTCCAAATCGAAAAAGAGGCCCTTAATAATGTTAAAATTATACATTTTTTTAATCTATAATTTTGGCAATGCACAATTTTCCTATATACATTGCAAAATAAAAATGCTTTCATATAACAATGACATATTCAATTACGCAAAATTACATTCGGATATTTTATTCATGTTGATAATAGTAATTAAATACAACTCAAGGCTCATATCAACTTAAGCTATATTAACTTCTATTTATTTGAAAAGTGATATTCTTCTAATGCTCTTTGAGGCAAAATCATCAATCAAGTCTTCATATTCCATTTTCTCTAGAAGATCATTCTCAATTGCTATCATCACCAATCCATTAAGTCTTTCGTGTAGCATCGTAGAACGAAGATATGACTTCAATAGCTTTAACTTTGAAAAACTCCTTTCTGCAGTTGCAACTGTCACAGGAATAATCAACAAAATTCTATATGCAATAGTAGCATTAGGAAAACAACCCACATCATTCAAAAATATCAAAATATCAAAATATCAAAAGGTCCTTTTATGTCATTGTGCAAAATTTCTTTAAGCAACTTCAACTCCACAAATAATTCATTCCCATCAATATCTGATTTTTCATTAGACATAAGTGCATTTTCAAAATTCAAACAAGAGGATTTCAAACTTAAATCATCCAATGACTTCATCCTTTGAGGAGTGAATAAGAAACCCTAAATATTTTCATATTCCTCAAATTGCTCAAATCTTTTATAAAGAGAACTAATAGCTTGATCAACAATATAAAGAAAGTAATCAATTCTAAATGATTATTCTGGAGATAGAGGAGCATTTGATGAAGTGCTTGGATTCTCATCAAAATGTTTTTTTCTTTTCATTTCACGCTTTTGGGGAAATATAGGATCAATATCCATTTTAATAGCAATTTCCTTAGCCTTACTCAAAGCATCATAAAAACCAGTTTCTCTATACCCCTCAAAAAAAAAGAAATCAACCCTCTTATTTTTTTAATAGCCACATCAATAAGCATATCCTTTGATTGTAATAGCTTGCTTACTAAATTAATTGCAAATAGTATTTCATACCAAATTACTATTGCAATTAAAAACTCAAAATCACCAAGCTCATTATTTGCTAAGGATTTAGCTTCACTCTTTATATTGTAATCCTTATCATTGCTATTGGCTACTTGAAGTAAAGCTTCTCGTATATCTGACATTTGAAATCTAATAGCCTTAACACTTTCAACACGACTTTCCCAACGAGTAGATGACAAAGACTTAACGGTTAGTCCTTTTACATTGTCTTTCAAGATTTGCCATCTCTTAGTAGAAGCTGTAAAAATTGTATATATACGTTGGATGACTCCAAAAAAGTCTCTAGCTTTACTACATGTGTTAGCCATATCACATAATGTCAAGTTTAAACTATGACAACATATCACATAATGTCAAGTTTAAACTATGACAACCACAAGGAGTATAAAAAGCATTAGAATTTAAATCCAAAAATTTCTTTTGAACTCCTTGATATTTTCCTTTCATATTAGATCCATTATCATAGCCTTGTCCTCGCACATCCATTATATCAAGATCAAGATTTTTCAATTCATTTTGTAAAACATCAAAAAGCCCTTGGCCAGTTGTATCATTTAATTCAAAAATCCTAAGAAAAATTCCTCAATGCAAACATTACAATTAGAGACATTCACATATCTTAATATCAATGACATTTGCTCTTGATGGCTAACATCGGGAGTACAATCACGAATTATCGAGAAATATTTTGCTTGCTTTATCTTTCTTATGATTTCATTTTTTATTGCAGAACCAAGCGAAAGTATTAACTCGTTTTGAATTGTATGACCTAAATAATGAAAGTGAATATCATTATTAGTAATACGGTTGACATGTTCTTGAATGATTGGGTCAAACTCAACCAACATTTCAATCAAGCCCAAAAAATTACCATTACTTTTTTGGTATAGTTTACCATTTGAACTACGAAAGGCTAGATTATGTTTGGCAAGAAATTTGACAATTGAAATAATTCTTTGCATTACTTTCTTCCAATGGTCTTTTTCTTTTTCAATTAGCATTTGAGTCGTCTTATCAATAGTTTGGTTCTTTTGAAATCTAAGACGCAACTCATACCAAGTAGTCATATTCTTAACATGATCTATGCTTGTCTCATGCTCTTTAAGTCTAAAGCCTACATGCCCCAGATCTGAAAATCCTTCATTTGTCAATTGTCCTCTTCCCATCCCTTTTAAAAATATTTTACAGCAAAAACAATAGACTCTATCAAGCTCTTTGGAATAAACAAGCCAATCCCTATCACATTTCTCACCGTTTGATAAAACTCTAGTATACAAGTTAGCCGTAAATCGTCTAGAAGATTTATCTTTAGGACCTTTCACAATAGAATTATCTCTTTTAGGACCATTTTTCACTAATAAATCAATCATTTTAGAATCAAGACCATCCCAAACTCTAGGATCATATATATTAGGCACATAACTAGTTTCACGGTGATCAACATTATCATTATCAGAAGGCATATCATCAATATTTTCAGCATTATTATCATTCTCAATAGGCACATCGTCAACATTGCAATTAACACTAGGCACATCATCAAAAATATTATCCACATCATCAACATTCTCCGCAATAGGCATATCACTAACAAGATCAACATTAAAATTATTAATATCAACATCAAAATTATTATTCTCAATAGGGACATCATCAACGGGCTCAACAAGAGGAACTTAGGTTCTTTTATAACGAATTTATCAAGAGAACCTTTTTGAGAATTAATTAACACTTCTAATTTTCTCTTTTTGTTACGCTTTTGAGACCCAGATTCATACTTTCTAGGAGGCATAATCTCAAAAAAAAAAAAATTACAGTATCATATATATGGATTGAAAAAACCTGGAAAGCAAAAGCTTTATTTCAATCAATTGGACGAATTAGCAAATTACTCGATAACGTTGATTCTCAATCTTTGTTCAAAAGAATACGACCAATTTGGACCTTCAAAAAATAAAATTGTTAGATACAGAATTAGTCTCCCATCTGCTGTATATCAATCAAATCTGCTATATATGTTTACGAATCTTAGAGCATCCATTCCTTTGATTTTGATGTCAGATGATTGTATAATTTTAATTCATTCATTCATTCGTATATAATTATTGATTGAATTTGTTTTATGATTGATTAGCTGTGCATTGGTTCTATTTTGAATGCCATTCATCTGAACTACCACAATATGTATTTGTAGGATGTTAGATTAATTGTACATTTGTACGATACAGCTAATTAGATTAATAGCGTGCAATAGTCTAGACTCTAGAATTTCTAGATATTATTAGCATTATGCTGAACTACAGAAGAGTATAAACAAAAATCAAAAATTAAAAATTGCTTCAATTGACATTAAAAAAAAAAAGAAAAAATCAAAAATAACAATGAAGATTGCTTCACGAGTTCACGAATTATCACAGAAAGATGTACATAATAGTTAAAACATCTTGAGCAAAATTTTAGTTAAGCTGTACATAAAAGATAGAAAAAATTCTCACTTAATGTCTCTGTTGCAACACGAGCAGGGCCGAAAAAAAAAAAAAAAGAAATTAAAATTGCTTCTATTCATCAATTGAAATTATCAAACCCAGAATTAATTAAAAACAAAAATCAAAAATTTACCAGAAGACATGAAGCATTCAAAGCAGGGCCGAAAAAAAAAATGAAATAAAAATTGCTTCAATTGAAATTATCAAACCCAGAAATAATTAAAAACAAAAATAAAAAATTTACCTAAAATCGATTGCTTCAATTGCTTCAATTCATTCCCCTCAAAAAGAAAAAAAAAATTGCTTCAACCCTTCAATTCGTTTTTGATTTTGTATAAAGTATAATTGTATCAATTGGGAATAGATAGATGAAGATGATTGAATGGAAGATAACCCATATATATGGGAAAATAATTATCGTTTGATAACAAGAAATTCGGAAGATTGAAATTGATTTCTTGACTGAGTTTATTTTTTTTTCCGCTGAACTTCCTTGAATGGGAAAATATGCAATACAATTTTGCATGATTGATGTAATTAGGGAGGAATTTGGAAACATGGAGAAATTAATATGGAAGGTTGAATTGATTGAATGCGATTATGGGAATTGGGAAAGTTGAATGCGTGAATGTTGTAGTGTTGCTTCTCCTTCCTCTTTGCTGTCTTCTGACGATAAAAACAAGATTTAGTTTTTTTTTTTTTTTTTTTTTTTTTTTTTTTTTTTTTTTTGGAAAAAAATTAGGCCCTTTAAATTGGGGGCCCTGTGCTAAGGGGCACCTTGCACATGGCCTTCTACGGGCCTGCAGAGAAGGATAATGCTGGGAATTAGTTAGAACAGAGAGTTACAAGCAGGCTAGAGAGAGAGAGAAATAGCAGCCAAGGGATATGTGTATTGCAAATCAGAGTAGTTCACGATACAAGGCCTTCTTTTGAGAGGAAGGATCTCTCCAAAACAAACTTCAACAATATTTTCTGGATGCCTTCTCCCTAACCCATTAGCTCTATTTAATACAAAATTAAGCTTACAAACCCAAGTAAACAGCTAATACAGGGAATCTAAGTAACAACCAAATAACAAACTTATTTCAGAAATACTACTATGCCCTTTCCCCAAAACTGATTTCATAACAAACTTCCAGCTCAGCTCATCAAGCATTTTTCTGTTTAATTTTGGGCCTTCTCTTTGCATATGTGAAGCGAATCTCAGGTCTGAGCTGATCCCTTGCAGATAGTTCTGACTTTTCTAACTTGTTATTGTGAGGTAGATTACTAGAAATATAAACAATGAAAATATTTGATCTGAAGAAAAACTTCTTGTGGAGTTTGCAGTGAAGTATACTGTCCATGATGCACTCATTGAGAAAAGTAGCAACTTCTACGGAATGTTAATAGTGTAATGCTGTGATCAGCTACTAAACACGTGGGGTGGAAGCTTACCATTAAGTCTTCAATTGGGTGCTGAAGGTGGTCTGAGCTTTAAGTATTTTGAGTATTTTGGGCCTTCTCTTTGCATATGTGAAGCGAACCTCAGGTCTGAGCTGATCCCTTGCAGATAGTTCTGACTTTTCTAACTTATTATTATGAGGTAGATTACTAGAAATATAAACAATGAAAATATTTGATCTGAAGAAAAACTTCTTGTGGAGTTTGCAGTGAAGTATACTGTCCATGATGCACTCATTGAGAAAAGTAGCAACTTCCACGGAATGTTAATAGTGTAATGCTGTGATCAGCTACTAAACATGTGGGGTGGAAGCTTACCATTAAGTCTTCAATTGGGTGCTGAAGGTGGTCTGAGCTTTAAGTATTTTGAGTATTCTATCTGTTGATATGATAGAATCTGCATTGTTATATCCTTCGGGTAGCATGGAGCCCTGTTTCTAAGGAAGGGCATTTCTTTTTAAGGAGGTTGATTTTGATGCTGGTTTTTTGGTAGTTCTTTTAAAAAGAAAACGATGTTGGCTGGTGTGGTTATTATTCCCGATTCAAGTCCGTGATTGATGAATAGGATAGCCATATCCTTGACTTCCTAGCTCGGATCATATAACTTGGAGCCATGTAGGGAAGAAAAACTATATGAAGCTAACCTTGTTCCAAAGCCATTTTTTGGGATATGTTAAACTCTTTGGCATGTTATGATCTTAAAGTTCGCCTTTCTTACTTGGAAAGTAAAATGCTTTGTTTGCATTTGGCCTTTTGAAATCATAGGGCTTGATTCATAATCCACTTAGTTCATATTGGAATATCTGATTATGGGATTTTCCATTTGGTACCATTGTACTTTTGGTACCCAATTTTTGTTTTTATTCCACAGGGTACCGTTGTAATTTTGGCTTATTTTCTACTATAACATCCCGTTAAATAAAATACGTAGTATCAGTTTAGGGCATTTGTGGACTGTGGTCCTTCCTCTTATTTTTTTTTTTCTTTCTGATTCCAACTTCAAAGTTTAATCCTTTAGGGTCATAATGACCCCCAAAACTTTAGAACATTTTTTGCGCAAAATAAATTGAAATATGCAAATTGAGTTGGTCACTCCTTCCATCTCTACCCACTAGTTGGTCACTTTGCCAACCAAACTTTCCCAGATTAAGTGATGAACATGCTCGCTGGATCTTCCTTTTTGTGTTAACAGTCTTGGTGCTAGATTCATCCATGTTTCTCTACAAACCACTGTATTTTATATTCGCTCTTGCACAGCCCACCCTGTTGATCACTGACTGATCCTTATTTGATCTTGGTGACAAGGCAGTAAATTATGATTGCCACACCAATGCTTTATGATGGTCCTTATTTGATCTTGGTGATCCTTATTTGATCTAAGGTAGGTAACTTTTTACTCTCTGATTACAATAGGTCTTCAGTAAGTTCAGTTAATTATGATGGTCACACCCATACACCCTGTTGTATACACCTTCCATTTTTACAAAGTTCTTTTCATTTGTTAGAGATATAAAGACCTAAGAAACAAATAGGCCAAGTCGGGCTAAAATTATAGTATCTCCTTGACAAAAAAGGGATAAAGTAAAAGTTGAAAATTGTCTATCCATTTCCTGTTAAGTGTTGTTATATTTTTTTTTTGTTTTTTTTTTTGGGAGATAAAACGCCGAGCAATATATTAATCAAGGGAAAAAGTGTCCGAGAGTACATAGGTAGAAACCTCGCTAAAACAATGGTTAACCTAGACTTGCTCAACTCCAATTGGCTTAAGCTTAGCAAGATGGTGGGCAACGTTATTGCCGTCATGTTTTACGCGAGACCAAGAAAATAAATTAAACTTGCTACTAAGAGAGAGGATGTCTTCAAGCACATTATCAAAGTCAAAAGTAGATCACCCAAGCCTTTTGGCAAGCTTCACCCCAAGCACGATGCCTTCCCTTCCCCTATCACTAGGGGCTAAGTGGCTTTAATTATGCAAGCAACCACAAACAACACAACACCCTTGTTCTGAAATTATTTTTACTAAATCTCTATTATATTTCTTTTATATATTTACTGATTTTTTTTTTATTTTTTATTTATTTGAATATCTTTTTTTTTTTTTTTTTTTTTTTTTTTTTTTTTTTTTTTTTTAAGTAAAAGGAATAGGGCCTTATTTCCGATTATATTCAAGTCAATACATTACCTAAATTTATTTACAGGTTAAAAATTTCTCATTAGTTTTTTTTTTCTTCTTTTTTTTTAAGGAGTATATTATTTTTTACTAGTAAAAGTTAAATATTCTTTAAATTTTTTTTTTTTTTTTTTGTGCACTTCCTCGAGAGTCTATTATGGATTACTAATTAGAATGTCTATTTGAAGCCATTTAAAGGAGTCGGTAAGTTTTACCAAAAAAAAAAAGGAGTCGGTAAGTGAAACAAAAAAAACAAAAGCCTTGGTTAAATTTTGAAATTGGTGAGTCCAGAACACCTGAGAATTCTCATGTATGATGTATTGATGTTTGTATGTGGGTGGGTGGGGACGTGAAGCGGTGTAGTACTATCTTGATTGTAACTTTAAGGCAATTATGCTGGAGATATTTTTCCTGTAATGATTGATTTATTGAGATTTTGTTGGGGACTTGGGCAGTAGTGAATACTTGTATTCTTTTGTGCGGATCGGAGTGGCGGAGTACCTAGTAAGGCTAGTAATTTGTCTTTATCTTCCCTGTTATTTTCATCTATCTTCCATACTTTAATATTTTATCTATCCTCATCTTCTTTTCATCAAACTTCTGATATCCCTGAGCTTGTTGGAGATTACACTAATCTTATGGGGTTATTTTCATCTATCTTCCATACTTTTATATTTTGTCTATCCTCCCTCTTCTTTTCATCAAACTTCTGATATCCCTGAGCTTGTTGGAGATTACACTAATCTTATGGCCTGGTTAATATAATACGTACTTAATGTCTAAGAGATAGACTTGTCAAGACCCGACGCGGGTTCAAACTTAACCCAATTCGACCCATTTATCAGTATTTTGTAATGATATTATGTTTTTACATTGTTTGAGTTTTTTTTTTTTTTTTTTTTTTTTTTTTTTTCACACAACCCGAAACCTAACCTAAGCCCGACTTGTTGATTTGTAATAGTGGAAATATGTATTCATCACAAACTACCAAAATATATACTTGTACAAACCAAGTGCATGCTCATTTACCAATATTGTTGACAATGAAGACATATACTTTCTCTATTTTTTAATTATTGCACTATTTGTCTTTTAAAGAAATTTCATATATATTGCACTATATCCATTTTAGGAAACAAAATATCTCTATTCACATTGCAAATACCATATGTACCTTTACTTTTAACACTTGATTATTTAGTTAGGGTTTATATCATATGAATTATTTTGTATTTTACCCCCTTTTTTTTTTTTTTTTTTTTTTTTTTTTTTTGGCTACTATAAAAAAAAAGTGTGTTCAACCTCTATGGTGCAACAATAAAAGAACGGAAAAAGTATGATAATTGTATTATGACATCCTTCATCTTGCGTTAAAGAAATTTTGATATAATCTAACATGATTCATGAAAACACTAATCATGATTCATGAGGATTCTTGACTAAACACTCTCAACTAACTCCAATTATATTGGGAAATAATGTCATGTTTTTTTTATTTGGTAGGTTCCACTTACTTTTTTGGGAAATAATGTCATTTTTTTTTTTTTAATATTTTTTATTTTTATTTGGTAGGTTCACTCAATTTTAACTTTTATAATAATCACTTCTTCAAAAACTTTTCATTTTCTGATTTTTTAAAAATTAAAGCAATAAAGTTCACCCTCACGTGCTTTAATTTTACTCTTTGCATAGGAAGACTCTTAATTTCTTAATTCCCGTAAAAAAATAAGAAATGATCACAGAGGGAGTATTAACATGTGCTTACTTTCTCTCCATTCTTCTTCCTTGCTCATAAATGGTGGCCCTAGTTTGGTACAGCCCGTTATTAACCCAAACCAACCCTTGTGACCCGTCCAACAAATGCTTTACACGGTTACACCCATGCTTAAGAACTATTCTCCATGTTGGTTTATATTCAGTAGGCTAATGATAAAGCATCGTCCATCCTATAAATATGAAGTCATGAACATTATTTGAACTTGCAAACCAAAGAGACAAAATAAGAGAGCATTAGTTAAGCTCCAAACCACAAATAATAAAAAAGAAAAAAAATAAAATAAAACATGGTGAAAGAGGCAGAAGTGAACTTCATCTCAGAATGCTTCATCCATCCAGATCCCGAGATTGTTAGTGAAGCCTTAAAGAAACCTTACCACTTAAGCCCTATGGACCTTGACATGCTATGCTATGATCACATGCAAAAAGGTCTCATGTATACCAAACCTTACAATGCAGGTTTTCAAACTGAGGTTTTCCTGCAGAAACTTAAACTCTCTCTTTCTCTTTCTCTCCTCCATTTCTACCTACTAGCTGGCCGCTTTGCGACCCAAACTTTACCAGATGAACATGCTTATTGCATCTTCCTTGATTGTGTCAACAGCCCTGGTACTAGATTCATCCATGCTTCCCTAGACTCTACTGTATCTGACATTCTCTCCTGCACTGACGCTCATCCCATTTTCAGATCTTTTTTTAATCTCGGTGATAAGGCAGTTAATTATGATGGTCACACTAATGCTCTATTATCACTCCAGGTAAATTATTATGACTACTGTTACTACTACATACAGTTAATTATGGCCACTGACGCACCTTATTGTATACAAATTTTACGAATTGCTTGACTCACTAATATTAGTTAATCTTCTTGTCAAATGAATAGTGCTCACTCCCTCCGGTTCTGTTATCTATTTCTATTTGTTCCTTAATTTGGTTACAATTCCTCACTCATCTTAGATTATTAGTGTGTTTTGACAACTTATCCTACATTCAACAATCAACACTCTCTTTTCTACCTTACACTTGAACGAACCGTAATTACAATTTTTTTAGTGTTATTTATACTTTATGTATCTCCTAATTTTTCTTACACATAAGTATAAAACCCATTTGCTTCTCTTTCTTACCCTTTTTGGTTTCTGCTGTTACAATAGCCACATTTTTCATATAATTCCAAGGCAATTATGTATACATAGAATCAATCAATCAATCAAAGCCTTAATCGCATAAGTGGAGTCGGCTACATGAACCAAATTTGATTATTCCGTGTAGTCATCAACATAAAACTTCATTCTCTATCCCTTACGATCCAATGCTTCATACTCATGCAAATCCATATACTTTCATATTTTTTTCTAATTCCTTTCAACCAAGTCAATTTCGGTCTACCTTTGTATATATAGATCTATTTAAAAAATAAAAATGTATACATAGAGATCTATTTTTTTAAAATTTTTTTAAAAAAATGAATACATGGAGATATTTTTACATTAATTATTGAGGTATTGTTTGGGGAATGGGAAGCATATGCTTTCTTATATACCTTATACTTTGTCTCTATTACAACCTATTCTTACCTTTTCTTTCTATGGAAATTATGATCCTTGTGTTCTACTTATAGTTATGTGTTAAAAAAGTACTTAAAAAGGGTTTTCCAATTTGAAATTAGGTACGAGTATAAAAGTGGTTAAAAAGGGTTTTCCAATCATGAAGTACTTAAAAGATTTATGAGTGAAATCATGAAGTAGTTTTTGAATTTTTTATGCTCTATATTCTCGCCTTTTGTCAATCCTATGGTACTAGTATATATATAGAGTACATGAGTAACATTACTATAACATGTGAACATTATGTAGGTTACAGAGCTTGTAGATGGGCTATTCATCGGATTTTCCATTAGCCATTCAGTAGGAGATGGCACGTCCCTTATACATTATATCACCACCTTGTCAGAGTTGAAAATCTCTGTTGGTAACAAACTGCAGAATGGGGAAGAACTAACCTATGCTACCATCTCTAGGAAACCAATCTTTAAGCCCTTCTTTCCTGATGGATATGGCCCATTTCTTAAGCTACCATATGTTGAACCATCTAAGTTTTTGGCCTGGAAAAATCCTGACCCCATTAGAGAAAAAATATTTCACTTTTCAAGAGTGTCAATGTCAAGGCTTAAAGCCAGAGCAAACAACAACATACATCATGGAGGAACCCATAAAAATGAAATTTCTACTTTCCAAGCGATGTCGGGGCTTATTTGGAGGGCTATTACCCGAGCTCGAAAACTAGATCCTGAAATGGAGACTAACTGTTCTCTAACCGTGAACTTGAGGCCTCGTTTGATTCCCCCACTTCCGCAAGAATACTTTGGGAATTATTTCTCCAGGATTAAGGCCAGTTGCAAAGTTGGGGAGCTCTTAAACAGTGACTTGGGCTGGGGTTCATTGTTGCTTCATGCAAGTATAAAAAACATGGATGATCAAGCAATTAATGAATCTATTAGGTAGTATTGTGAGGCTCCATCTATAGGCCAACTTGCTAATGATTCCACATTCTTTGGGCCTAATCATGTGAAAATTGTCGGGTCGCATAGGTTCAATTTGTTTGGGAATGAATTTGGAATGGGAAGACCCGTGGCTATTCGTGCTGGAAAGGGAAACAAAGTTGATGGAAGAGTGGCTGCTAGTCAAGGAAGTGAAGGGGAAGGGAGCGTTGATCTAGAGGTTTGCCTTGTGCCTCTAACTATGAACGCTCTTGAAATGGATGAAGAGTTTATGAGTTTTGTTGCACTAAGTTAATTCCTTCAAAGATCTAGTGTTCGTGTTAGGATGCGAGTCCAATAAGTCTAATATGCATCTGACGGATGTGTTGTTGTGTCGCAATGTTATTAGGGTTGGGAGTATGCTGCGCTTTGGGCTGGAGAGTGCTATGATCCACTCAGCCTGTGTGTTTTTATGGTTTAGGTGTCTGGCTTGTACTTGTGTGTTTGCTACTGGACTACAGTTGTGTTTTTTTTACTACTGAACAGTTTCTTGTGGGTTGCAAATTTAGCACATAGCAAGTTAATTAATCAGTCAAGGTTAGCGAAATTTGACCAGAAAATCTAAGCTAATCTTGGACTGAGTATTTATATATGGGTTCAATATCATTTCAGTGTTTTTGTTATCATTGTAAATTTGTAATTGTTGGAGTGTTAATGCATTTTAATTTACAAATGAGTATTGGTCCATAAATTTCCTAATTATTGGAGTGTTAATGCATTTTAAATTAGAAATGAGTATTGGTCCATAAACTTACCTATACACAAAAGAACTTAAGAAATTCTTATACATCACTTCCACTATACGAGTAGTTTTGAGATATAGAATTATAGATGGTAGATACAACCTTAAATATTGTTTGCACTTTTTTTACTTGTTAATCTTGTTTTCTTGTTTATTGAGGCGGTATGAAAAACCTTCACCGTTGCATATCAATGCTTATGATAAGGTGTTGTAAATGCCATCATGCTCCATGGCCTGCGCAGTCAAAATGCTGAGGTATGGAGGTTCTAGAAATGGGATTGGACTACCTGATGTTCATGATCACCCCAAAAGACAATTTCGATGCTTACCTTCTTTTCTCCATTTGATCATGAACGTGTTTTAGACATTCTCTATCTAAATGCAGAAAAAATGATAAACGTAAAGGAAGCAACAACTTGGTACAATAACCATTTTATTATCAAGGACTTAGATTAGATCTACCTCTTGTGTGCTTTCAATTCTTCAATTAAGGCACTTAAATGAGAGTAGGATGAGCCTCCTTCAGAAATAGCCAACCTTGCCATCTCTTTGCACTCCTTAGCCCTCTTTCTCATGTCTTGAGCTTCTTCACCAATTGATATTTTTGCCATTGCATTCAAGATTTCTTTGTTACCAATGGTGATATTGTGGCTTCCCACCCTTGGTACCCATTTTTTCGCGCCCACCGGAACACCTATCTTTAACACATCCGTGACCAGTTTCTCATTATAAAATTGTTCAGCATGAAACGGCCAGGTAACCATAGGTACGCCTGATACCACCCCTTCTAGTATTGAGTTCCATCCACAATGAGTCACAAACCCACCCACGCCACGATGATCAAGAATAATCTGTTGTGGGGCCCAACCTCTTAATACCTCGACTGACTATCCTTGCCTCGAACCCTTGTGGGACCCACTCCTTATTATCCTTGCTCCTTACAACTAGGATAAAATTTTGACCCAGGGCTTCAAGAGATATTGCTATCTCATGTAACTGAGCATCTGATAAATTCGACATACTCCCAAGACAAACATAAATCACTGAATCAGGCTCTTTCTCATCGAGCCACCTCGTACATTCATTTATATCCATTGAAGAATTTTTCCCTCTATGAAATGCTTCATTGTCTTCTCTTCTATTGAAGTAAAGCGAAAACGGTCCAATATGCCAATGTTTCATCCCCATAACCCTCGCATAGTAGTCAGCATAACCAGGTTCTAACTCATAATAGCTGTTCATTATCACTCCATTACAAGCTTTCATCGCGTCTCTTATTTTATCCATCAGTTCTAGTAGGAAAATTGGACCTTCTTTTTTGTCGTAAGGGGACAATTCTGATTTTGTAAATTTTATCTTATGAGGTAGATCACCAGGAACAACAAAAGTGTCTGAGTCATTCAAAAGGTTCTTGTGTGGTTTGTATTGAAGTAAGTTGTAAGTGATGCACCGAGATAAGTAACTACTTCCATGGAACATTAAACATGGAATTCCAAACTCAATAGCTACGGAATTAGCCCAATGGATGAAATGATCAGCTACCAAACAATTGGGTTGGCATTTTTGAAGGAGGTTTGTGAAAGGTTGTTGAAGAAGGTCGATGGCCTTGAAGAAACGGCTAAACATTTCTGTTGAGGTTAGAGAATCTGCATTCTCACACCCTTTTGGGAGTCCTGCTTCATCATACGGAAATTTTATTGTAAGGAGGTCGATTTCGAGGCCATCTTTTTGGGTATGTATTTGGATAGTTTCTGCGAAATAGTTTACATTAGCAGGTGTGGTTACAATGGTAGATTTGATTTTCCGAGTTGCGAATAACCTAGCCATGTCCATAATTGGGATCATATGGCCAGGAGCCATAAAAGGGAGGAAAACTATGTGAAGTTGATCTTGCTCCGAACTCATCTTAGTTTTCCCACTCTTGAGGTTTGATTAGAAGGTTTGCTTACCTTGACTTTAGCTCTTGAGAGAGGACAATGGAGTAGAGAGAAGGTTTAAGGGAGCTGGTTAACTACTATAGTGCCATTGTCAATTTATTTCGCACAGAATTATTTAATATGATAATTAAAGTTGCACCTAATCATCTACGAGTAGTTTATTAATTTTGTTGTTGGAGTAGTTGTTGAAAGCTTGAACATGTCTTTTTACTTTTCTTCATTTTCCTTTGTGCTTGTCATTTTCAAGCCGGATGTATAAATTAACTTCTATGTCTCAATAGTCAATGTAATTGCACTATTTGGGTTATTTTTTAGTGGGGCGGTGAGGCCATTAAGGGGCTATCGGCCCACAATATTCCATTGATTTCCTCTTTAACTCCTTATTTTACAAAGTTTAGACGTGTATGTAACTTCTTCCGTTTCCTAAATATTGTAACATGGGGATGAAACACGATTTTTAATAAAAGGAGAGAGATAGAGATGAATTAAGATATGGACCCTTGTAATAAGGAGATAGAAAGAGAGAAAACATGTGCTAATAGGGAAATGTTGCAATCGTAGTGAATTTTCCTAAAATGATAATTTTTGGAATATTTGTATAGTGGAGGAATTTTATGTTAGGTTCATGTTTATTGTTCAAACTCTGCTTTCTTTATGTAATAATAATCTTTGGGATCTAATAGGAACATCAATTAGCATGATATAAAAAACCACCACTCTTAAAACTAATCTGTCCACACCATGGAGATGTAGGGCTGGCAAACAGGTCGGGTCGGGTCGGGTTCAAGTCGACCTGTTTACATAAACGGGTCAGGACCCCCCGACCTGTTTACTTAAACAGGTCAAAAAAACCAACCTGAACCTGACCTGATTATAAACGGGTCAACCTGAACCCGACCCGCCTAAACCTGATTTTTTTTTAATTAAAAAAAAATAAAATAAAAACCTGTAATTTACTAATTTCTTTATACTGTAATTTTTTTAACCTGTAATTTGACTAATTTCTTTAACCTGTAAGATTCAAGTATTCAAGACTTCAAATTCAACACATAATTCAAGCAAACATAACTTAACAACATAATTCAAGAGTTACATGTCCAAAATACTTCCAAGTAGGCAAATAAAAGTTCAACTAGAAAACCAAATACATGTCCAAAATAACAGTAACAGTTTCATCAACTAATTTTAGAAGAAATTAACAACATAATCAGGTTTGACTCTCCATGACAGCAGGACTTTCTGGTGCACTTTGTGGAGGGCTGGGGCTGGGAGTATCCCCCACATCATCGTTGACTTTCATGGCCATGATTTTTCCACATAAATCTTGCAATTGCGGATCCATATTAGCTACAACCAAAAGAATACATACAAAAGTTAATTTCAGCCTTAAGCATAAATAAAATAGTACAAAAAAGAAACAAAAAAAATTGTAATTTTAAATACATAAACTATTTTCATACCTTCACCAAAAGTCCAATCTTTGAGGCAAATGATAGCTTCTGCTGTGTTTGGTTTCAAAGAGCTTCTATAGCAGTCCAAAACTCGACCACCAGTACTGAAGGCAGATTCTGAAGCTACTGTTGAAATAGGGATTGCAAGGATGTCCCTTGCCATCTTTGAAAGAATTGGATACCTCACAACATTTGTTTTCCAATGATATAGAATATTAATGTTGGTTGCACGAGGAATCAATGGCTCTTCCAAGTAGATTTGCAAGTCAGATTTAGCAGCAACATATGATTTGCTAGAAGAGAAGTTATCAAAGTCCTAAAAGATGTTTAAACAAAAATTACAATAAAGCATACAAAAAACAGAATTTAAAGCTGATTATCAAACAAAAAGCAAGTGTTCACAGTTACCATCATAAAAGAATCAGAAGCAACATCAACTTGCTCTTCATTAGGCTGTCTAGAAGAACGGCGCCTTGTTCATGGTGTTGTTGTGGAAGCCTCAGTCACATAAACACCATATAAATAATCCAACCTTTCCTTGAACTTCACCAACTCATTAGTACCCTCTATTTCCCCATACACCTTCTTAAAAGCCCACTCCACAAACTCATACTTAAATCGAGGGTCTAAAACAACAGCCACAGCCATGATTATGCTAAAGTTGGTCCAATATTTAGCAAATTTCTCATTCATTCTTGCTGCCATCTTATGCATGAAGTTATCAGAATTTTCAAGCTCCTCTATCAAGAGTAAACGGATTTTCAACACATTTGGGAAGTATACATTAGCGGTAGGATAATTAGTACCCGAAAAAACATTTGTCACATCAAAAAAGACCTTCAAAAATCTAAATAACTTCTCTATTCTCCCCCACTCCTCATTTGTTGGACAATGAATGTAATTGGCATCAACCTTTTGAAAATGAAGAAAAGCTTTTTTGTAGTACAAAACATTCTCTAACATCAAATAAGTTGAATTCCATCTAGTAGGGACATCTTGTCTCAATCCTCTACTTGAGTCTAGTTCAACATGTGCCACACAAGTCAAAAAACGTTGCTTTCTAGCCTGAGACCCTTTACAATACTTCACAGTTTCTCTCACCTTAACAACAGCCTCATTAATTTCTTTTAACCCATCTTGCACAATTAAATTTAGGATATGTGCACAACACCTCACATGGAAATAATCCCCCCCACATACCAAATCAAGTTCATTTTTAATTACATCAGCAAACACATCATTAGAGGAAGCATTATCAAGAGTAATACACATGATTTTCTTTTGGATACCCCACTCTTTAAGAAAATCATAGACATGGTCAGACATATGGACACCGGTGTGAGGTGGAGGCAAAAAACGAAAGTTCAGAATTTTTTTTTGCAAATTCCATTGATTATCAACAAAATGGGCAGTCAAAGACATGTAACCATCAGTAGTAATTGAAGTCCAACAATCAGATGTAAGAGAAATCCTACCCTTAACTACACTCAACTCCTCCTTAAGTTTATCTTTTTCCCTCTTAAACATTTTCAGAACATCAGCCTTCAAAGTATTTCGAGACACAAGTTTAACATCAGGATTTATGTAATTAATCAACTTCCTAACAGCACTATATTCAGCAAACTGAAAAGGCAAATCATGTTTCACCACAGCAATAGACAACATCTCACGAACAATATCATAATCAATTGTAGGAACCCTATTCATCATAGAACCAGAACTGCTTGAATCAATAATCATCTGACCCACATCTTTAAAGGTCCTTTTTTTACATTTCTTAATGTGGCGTTTTAAATTACCAGTTCCTTGCCTACTTTCAGCATTATATTTCTGCCCACATTTTTTACACATGCAAATGATGTTACCTTGTTCGTCAGGTTTATCAAGGAATTCAAAATTTGCCCACACATCTGAAGTGAGCTTTCGTTGGCGCTTGAAATGAATTCCAGGCTTATTCAGCGAGGTGACATTAGAGGTTTTCTTCTTTGATTCCGTTTGATGAGAATCAGAAACTTCATCATCTGAATCAGAATCCGGAAGATCAATGGGTTCATCAGGATTAGGGCTATTAGCCATCTGTGAATAAATTAAAAAAAGAATTACACTCATATCCGAAGTATAAACATGAAAAACAGAAGTATAAACTCATGAGTCATGACATAAAGAATCAAACTCATGAAATTGCAGAGTAAGAAAATCAAATCAGGGCAAAAAATCGCATAAACAAATCGCAAATAATCGCAAAATAAGTAAATAACAAATCAAATCTTCGAAAGAAATTGCAGAGTAAGAAAATAACAAACGAACAACATTAAATGATTAAATCACATAAACAAAGCATACATAAACCATAATAGCAAAAAATCGCTTAAAAAATCAAAGAAATCTGAAAATTGCATAACCAAATCAAGGAAATTGCATAAACAAATGACTCATGAGCAAACAAACTCATAAAAAATCGAATAATAGGATTATTACCTTCAGAATGTTTGAGATGAAGCTTCAATCTTCAAGGTTCAAGAATTTTTATTTCAATCTTCAAGAGTTAGAGAGAGAAAAGAGAGGAGAGAAGAGAGAGAAACTGAGAAGAGAGAGAGTTTGAGTGAAAGTCTGAAAGAAAGCGGCGAGTGAAAGAGGAAAAGCTTAGGGTTAGATAATTTGGGCTTGGCCCATATTTTTAAATTAGGGTTTTAAGTTAAGCGGGTTGGGTTCGGGTTGACCCGACCTGAAACCGACCCAATTAAATAAACGGGTTTATGCGGGTTGGTTTCGGGTTGGGATTTTCAACCTGAACCCGACCCATTTAACTTCAGGTCGGGTTCGGGTTGACCCAATTACATAAACGGGTTGAAAATCTCTATCAAAACCCATTTATTTCGGGTTGGGTTCGGGTCGGGTTGTCGGGTCGGGTCAGCTTTTGCCAGCCCTATGGAGATGGAGAACTATTCAACATGTTGGGTTTATATCAAATAGGTTAATAGTAATCATCGGGCATCCTACAAAAAAAAAAAAAAAAAATAGTGGTAAGTTCAAAATATTGCATATAGCGAGAAATAGAGAAAATATTAATCAACCAACTACAAAAACATATCAAACATAGACAAACCACTATCTAACCAATAATGTTAACAACAACAATTATGACAAAATGACAAATGTATAGTCACATCCCTCATCTTACAATAAAGAAATATTTATGTACATACACTAACATGATTGATGAAGAAATATTTATATACATTGACATGATTCTCATGAAAATTCTTGTCGAGTTTTCACCCACTCAATTATAATGCATCGACCATAAATATAAAATTGCAAACCAAAGAGACAATTAAAGAGAGCATTAATTAAGCTTCAAACCACAAATAATTTTTAAAAAATGGCACAAGTGAAGTTGGTCTCAGAATGCTTCATCAAGCCAAATCTTGAGGCAGTTAGTGAAGCCTCAAAGAAACCTTACAACTTAAGTCCTATGGACATTGACACATTATGTGCTAACTACATGCAAAAAGGTCTCATGTACACCAAATCTTATGATGCTGGTTTTCAAACTGAGGTTTTCCTGTTGAAACTTAAACACTCCTTTTCTCTTTCTCTCGTCCATTTCTACCCACTAGCTGGCCGTTTCGCTACCCAAACTTTCCCAGATGAGCATGCTTGTTGCATTTTTCTTGATTGTGTCAACAGCCCTGGTGCTAGATTTATCCATGCTTCCCTAGACTCCACTGTATCTGATGTTCTCTCTGGCACCGACGTCCACCCTGCTTTCAGATCCTTTTATGATCTTGGTGAGAGGGCAATTAATTATGATGGCCACACCAATGCTCTGTTATCACTTCAGGTAACTTACTCTGTATTAAAGTACATTTTCAGTTAATTATGGTGGCCACACTAACCCTGACTGTAGACTGTAGTATACAATTATACATGTTGAGTTTATGAACAAAATCAAATGTGACGTGTGAGGGGAAGTGCTGTCCACATTATGCAAATGTAAGAGGGAGGGTTGAGATGTGTTTTCACATTAGGTAGAAGTTGTGCACATTTTATAAGGGCCTATTTTCTTTATTGCATATAATTTTGAGGTGGAACTTCATTGAACTTGTAAAGTGGATTCTCTCCTTGTGCCAGGTGCGCGGTGTAGGCCTGTTTAACAATTATACAAATTGCTTTACTAACTTATATTTTTATATAGGCAGGCTTTATTTTCTCATGTAAAGCCTTGTTTTAGTTATTGAGATATTTACTGGTTGGGGATGATAAATATGCATTCTTTTATACCTTTATAATTTCTCTCTACTACAACCTAATAACCTATCTTTATAAAAAATTATGATCCCTGTGTTTTAGTAATGAGTTAAATCAAGAAGTAAAGGGTTTTCCAATTCAAATTTGTGTCCTGCATTCGGGTCCCTTTTTTTTTTTTTTTTTTTTTTTTTTTTTCTGCTCTATATTTTATCGATTTAATTTGACAGTATACGAGTAATGTTAGTTACTGTAATATGTGAACATTTTGTAGGTGACAGAGCTTGTAGATGGAATATTTATTGGATTTTCCTTCAGCCATTCAATAGGGGATGGCACTTCCCTTGAACATTTTATCACCACCTTGTCAGAGATTTTCAATTCTGTTGGTAATAGCCTGCAAAATTGGGAAAAACTAACCTATGTCCCCATCTCTAGGGAACCAATCTTCGAACCCTTCTTTCCTGACGGATATGGCCCAGTTCTTAAGCTACCATATGTTGAACCATCTGAGTTCTTGTCCAGGGAAAATCCTGCCTCAATTAGAGAGAAAATCTTTCAGTTTTCACGTGTGTCAATGTCAAGGCTTAAAGCCATGGCGAACAACGGCGTACCTAATGATGGAAACCGTAATAATGAAATATCCTCTTTCCAAGCGCTGTCAGGGCTTATATGGAGGGCTATAACCCGAGCTCGGAAACTAGAACCTGAAATGGAGACTAACTGTTCCCTTACCATGAACTTGAGGCCTCGTTTGATTCCTCCACTTTCACAAGAATACTTTGGGAATTATTTCTCAAGGATTAGGGCCAGTTGCAAAGTTGGAGAGCTCTTAAACACTGGCTTAGGCTGGGGTTCATTGTTGCTTCATGCAAGTCTAAAAAACGTGGATGACAAAGCAATTATTGAATCGTTTAGGAAGTATTGTGAAGCTCCAATTATAGGCCAACTTGCTAATGATTCCGCGTTCTTTGGGGTTAATTTTGTTAAGATTGTTGGGTCGCATAGGTCCAATTTGTTTGGGACTGAATTTGGGATGGGGAGACCTGTAGCTATTCGTACCGGAAATGTCAATGAAGTTGAAGGAAGAGTGTCTGTTAGTCAAGGAAGTGAAGGGGCAGGGAGCGTTGATCTAGAGGTTTCCCTTGCGCCTTCAACTATGACTGCTCTTGAAATGGATGAAGAGTTTATGAGTTTTGTTACACTAGGTTAACTCTTCAAAGATCTAGCGTTACGTGTTACTGTGTTAGGATGCAAGGCCAACAAGTCTTTTATGCATCCGACACATGATTGTTGCGCAGTGATTAGAGTCCGGAGTCTGCTGTGTGGGCTGGAGAGTGCTATGATCCACTGATCCTATAGTATTGTGTTTGCTACTACCTACTGGGTAGTTTCTTGTGGGTTACAAGACTTGCAACTCTAGCAAGTATAGTAGCAAGTTTAATAATTAGTCAAGGTTAGCGAAATTTGACCAGAATATCTTATGGAAGCTAATCTTAGACCGAATGAGTATTTGTTTATAATATCAATATCTTTACAGTATTGTATCATGGAGTAGAAAGAAGGTTGAAAAGAGCTGGTTAATTAACTAAAGTGGAATTGTCAATAATGCAATTGTACAGAAAAAGTTTATGAATGTTGCACTTCAATCATCTTTGAGTAGTAGTTGGAGTGGTTAAGCCGGATAATAGCTAATATGAGCCTTATTACTTCTTGCGTTTCAAAATGCATTATGGATGATGTCTTTTTTTTTGTTTGTTTTTATTTTTTTTTTAATTATTATTATTATTTTATTATTTTTTTTTGATTTTTATTTTATTTTATGGTGTCAATATATTAGTTGACCTTATATTAGCTAATATTAGAATAAAGTATGAAACGGTAATAGTTTTAAAATATATATTGAGACCATTATAGCATGATTACACCTAATGATGATTTTATTCATGAGAATCTATGGGCAAATTTTAAAACATTGACTTTCAAAAGAGTAGAAATGGTACAGCTATCCCATAACAGAAGTAATATAACAAGAATAAATTAACACACTTTATGTAGTAACACTTCTTTAACACAATGAAGGACACAAGGGGGTAAGCCTATCCCTTCTACAACTTCTTGAATGACACAATTAAAAGTTACAATTGAGGTGCAACATTCAATACTGAATTGAGAACTTACAATTAGATCCAAAAAACATATTTAATTTATGTTCATTTAGCTCTTGAATGATTTAATTTCTGTAATTAAAGCAGTTAATTGAGAGTAAGATGATCCTCCTTCGGATATAGTCTTTCTTGCCATCTCTTTTAGCTTCTGAACCCTATTTCTCATATCTTGAGCTTCTTCACCAATCATCACACTTTTCATTGCCTTCAAAATCTCTTTATTTCCAATAATTATATTATGATACCCAACTCTTGGAACAAATTGTTTTGACCCGACTTGACTTCCAATCCTTAGAACATCTGTTACCAACTTCTCATTATAAAACTGTTCAGCATGGAGTGGCCATGTAACCATAGGAACACCTGTGATCACCCCTTCTAGTATCGAGTTCCATCCACAATGAGTCACAAATCCGCCCACACTTGAATGATTAAGAATCATTTTTTGTGGTGCCCATCCTCTTATAATCAAACCTCGTCCCTTAGTTTTTGCCTCAAACCCATCCGCGATCCACTCCTTTGTGTCCTCCCTAACAACTAGGATGAAATTTTGACCCAAATCTTCAAGGGCTATTGCTATTTCATGTAACTGAGCATTTGATACATTTGACACACTCCCAAAACAAACGTAGATTACTGAATTAGTCTCTTTCTCATCAAGCCATCTTCTACATTCACTAACATCATTTTCTCCTTCATTATTAAAGTAAAGCGAAAATGGTCCAATATGCCATTGTTTCATGCCCATAACATTCTCATAATAATCTATGTAATCAGATTCTAACTCATAAAAACTGTTCATCAAACCCCATAACATTCTTTCACACCCTCTCTTATTTTATCCATCAATTCGAGTAAGAAAATTGAACCTTGTTTCTTGTCGTAAGGGGCCAACTCCGAATTTGATAACGTTACCTCATGAGGAAGATCGCCAGGTACCACAAAAGTTTCCGAATCAGATGAAAGTTTCTTGTGCGGTTCATGCTGAAGTAGATTGTAAACAATGCACCGCGAAAAGTAATTACTTCCATGGAATCCTAAACGTGGAACCTTGAACTTACTAGCAACAGAGTTAGCCCAATGAAAGAAAACATCTGCTACTAAACAAGTAGGGTGGTATTTTTCCACTAAGTTTGTAAAAGGCTGTTGAAGAAGATCGACGGCCTTAAAAAACTTAAAGAACATTTCAGGGGTTATGACACAATCAAAATTTTCACATCCTTTAGGAAGTCCTACTTCTTTAAAAGGGAATTCGATGGTTAGTAGGTTGATTTCAATGCTCGAACTTTGGGTATCGATTTTAATGGCTTTAGCAAAATAATGCACGTTGGCAGGCGTGGTAACAATGGTGGTTTTGAGTCCTCGAGTGGCGAATAATCTTACCATATCCATGGATGGAATCATGTGGCCTGGAGCTAAGAAAGGGAGGAAAAATATGTGAGGTTGATCTTGCTTTGAGTTCGTTTTTGGTTTTCTTGCAAGATTTGAAGATGGGCAATGACCTTGGGGAAGAGGGTTGAATTTGTTATATTGAATTGAGGGTGTACAACTGCATTGTATACAAGTGGTACACATATTTTAGAGATTTTAGATTGAATTATTGTGTAAATATGATTACCTTTGGATACCCATGTCGATGATTGGGTCAACGTTTTATCGTCTAATTAGCAAATATAGAATAGTAGAATACTAATTAAGTAACCATAAAAGTTGAGATTTGAGGCTTACCTTAAAAAATCAATTTAAATGCTCAATTGGACAAGTGAATCAACTCAACACGGTGACAAATTAGCAGTTGGCACATTTAGAAAAGAGTTAGCACATGTCCACTTGTTTTAGACTCGTGACAAATAGAAAGAGAAAGCATTAAAATCTGAAAATTACAGAACAAGATGGAGAAGCCGAGAAGGATACTAAGTGAGCAAATCGGATATCCGGTCAAATTTTTAGAAATCGGACCCGAAATTTGTTCGTACCGGGTCTTAAAATTTGGCATTGGAATTGGAACACTTCAACCGGGTCCTAAACTTTAGGAATTTAAATTAGAACCGCCGGGTACCGAGTCTGGTTTCGGGTACCCACTTATGTACATAATTATTAAATTTTAATACTTTTTTTGATCCATTTTCATTTTTAGTGTTTAATACTTATATTTATATATGCATGATTGCATGAAGCAATTTTATTTAGGTTAGATATTAATAATATGTTTTTATTTATTTATTTATTTATTTTTATTTTACTAGCTAGATACATTTAACATATTTTTTTTAAGGAAAAAGTGTATTTAGTTTAATATATATTGGATAACCAGGTACCCAATCGGTTCCTGGTCCAAAAAATTGGGAATTGAAATTGGAACCGGTTGCAACCCAAATTTATTACCCGGAATTGCAACCAATTCTATATCCGGACTCGCCAGTTCCTAACCGATTTCAGTTCCAATTCCGGGTAGCCGGAATTTTTGCTTGCCCTAAGTGATACAATAATACTGATCAAATGCTCATAAAATAGAATTTTTTGTTCACCCTAAGTGATACAATAGTGATACAATAAACGTGGATATTAGCCTTCAATTTTGGAATTTTTTGTTTTTTTTTTTCGCCTGGATATAAAACTTGCCGAAATATTTACCATGGTCCCTAATATCCACCGGGAGTCCAATTGGGTGGGTAGAATAATCCAATTTGGATTTAAACGACCAATTTCCCGGTTTACAACTTGCACCAATTTCATTAACTCAAGCCTACCACGAACATTTAAACAACAAATAATGATCATACTTCCTCCGTTCTTTTTTTATTGCACTATGAGGGATTTCACGTTTGTCAATGCATTTTTTTAGCTATTAATATCTTCAATTATACTTTTGTAAAAATTATAAAAAAATTGATATTTGAAAAGAAGATTTCGAGACGAATCTAATGAGATCCCACATGACTATATTTTTCCGAATAGATAAATCACAAATGATGGTCGAAGAAGATTAAGTGAATAGTGTAAAAGTCCTAATGGTGCAATAAAATAAAAACGGAGGAAGTATATGTTTCCAAACGACATTATATGACCCTGAGATATATCTACTAGAATTTCAAAACTTTTCGACACAAGATCCCGAAACCTCAAAAATTTCTCAAAAAGTCCGGTTATTAACTTATAATTTTGGTATTTTTTGACTTTTTTTGTCCGGAAATAAAAATTTCCAAAATGTTTAACATGGTCCATAAGTCCAATTGGCTGGGTGGAACCATCCAATTTGCCTTTAAACGACCAATTTACCGGTTTACAACTTGCATCGATTTCATTAACTCAAGCTTACCATGAACATTTATGACAACATATAATGTTCATATATGGTTCCAAATGGCATTATATGACTATGAGATGTATCCCCTAAAATCTCAAGCCTTTTCGACACCGTGCCTCGAAACCTCCAAAATTTCTCTAAAACCGTGGATATTAGCCTTCAATTTTGGAATTTTTTGACTTTTTTTTTGCCCGTAAATAAAAATTTCCGAAATGTTTACCATGGTCCCTAATACTCCCCAGGAGTCCAATTGGGTGGGTGGAACCATTCAATTTGCCTTTGAACGTCCAATTTACCGATTTCATTAATTCAAGCCTACCACAAACATTTATGACAACATATAATGATCATATATGGTTCCAAATTTCATTATATGACCCCATGATGTATCTTCTAAAATCTAAATCCTTTTCGACACCTGGCTCTGAAACCTCACAAATTTCTCAAAAAGCATGGATATTAGCCTTCAATTTTGGAATTTTTTGACTTTTTTTCGCATGGAAATAAAAATTGCCGAAATGTTTACCATGATCTCTAATACCCTTTGAGAGTCAAATTAGGTGGGTGGAACCATCCAATTTTCCTTTAAACGATCAATTTACCAGTTTACAACTTGCACCGATTTCATTAACTCAAGCCTATCACGAACATTTATCACAACAAATTATGATCATATATGGTTCCAAATTAAACGACATTATATGACCATGAGATGTATTCCCTAGAATTTCAAGACTCTTAGACACCGAGCCTGAATACTCCAAAGTTCATAATACGCCTTCAATTTTTGAATTTTTTGACTTTTTTTGCCCGGAAATAAAAATTGCAAAAATGTTTATTATAGTCCATAATACCTTCCCAGAGTCCAATTGGGTAGGTGGAACCATTCCATTTTCCTTTAAACGACCAATTTACGGATTTACAACTTGCACTGATTTCATTAATTCAAGACTACAACGAACATTTATGACAACATATAATGATCATATATGGTTTCAAATGACATTATATGACCCCGAGATGTATTTCCTATAAATTCAATACTCTTTGACATAGGGCCCCAAAACCTCCAAAATTTCGCAAAATGTGTGGATATTAGACCTTAATTTTGGAATTTTTTGACTTTTATTCGTCTGGAAAAAATAATTGCCGCAATGTTTAAACTGGTCTCTAATACCCTTTGGAAGTACACCTGGCTGGTGGAACCATCCAATTTTCCATTTAACACCCGATTTACCAGTTTACAACTTGCACCTATTTCATTTACTCAACCCTACCACGTACATTTATGACAACAAATAATGATCATAAATGGTTCCAAACGACATTATAGAACCCCGAAATGTATTCCTTAAAATTTCAAGACTTTTCGAAACCGGACCCCCTCCAAAATCTCTCAAAAAGCTTGGATATTCGACTTCAATTTTGGAATTTTTTAACCTTTTTACGCCCGGAAATAAAAATTGCCGAAATGTTTACCATGGTCAGTAATACACTTTGGGAGTCCAATTGGGTGGGTGGAACCATTTAATTTGCCTTTAAACAACCAATTTACCAATTTACAACTTGCACCGATTTCATTAGATCAAGCCTACCACAATAATTTATGATAACATATAATGATCATATATGGTTCCAAACGACATTATATGACCTCGACACATATATTCCCTAAAATCTCAAGGTTTTTCGACACCGTACCCAACCTCAAAAATTTCTCAAAAAGCATGAATTTAAGCATTCAATTTTGGAATTTTTTGATTTTCTTTCCCCCGGAAATAAAAATTTCCGAAATTTTTACCATGATCCCTAATATCCTTTGGGAGTCCCATTGGGAGGTGGGACCATCCAATTTGCCTTTAAACGACCAATTTACCGGTTTACAACTTGCACTGATTTCATTATATCAAGCCTGCCACAAACATTTATGACAACAAATAATGATCATATATGGTTCCAAACATCATTATATGACCCCTAGATATATCCCCTAAAATTTCAAGACTTTTCGACACCGGGCCCCGAAACCTCCAAAATTTCTCAAGAACCGTGGATATTAGCCTTTAATTTTGGAATTTTTTGACTTTTTTTTTTGTCCGAAAATAAAAATTGCCGAAATGTTTTTCATGGTCCCTAATACCCTCCGGGAGTCCAATTGGGTTAGTTGAACCGTCCAATTAAACTTTAAACGACCAATTTAATTACCGGATTACAACTTGCACGGATGTCATTAACTCAAGCCTACTACGAATATTTGTGACAACATATAATGATCATATATGGTTCCAAACGGCATTAAATGATCCTGAGATTTATCCCCTAGAATTTCAAGACTTTTCGACACCGGGGCCCGCATCCTCCAAAATTTCTCAAAAAGCGTGGATATTAGCCATCAATTTTTAAATTTTTTGTCTTTTATTCGCCCGGAAATAAAAATTGCCGAAATATTTACCATGGTCCCTAATATTGTTTGGGTGTTCCATTGGGTGGGTGGAAAATCCAATTTGCCCTTAAACAACCAATTTAATTACCGATTTACAACTTGCACGGATGTCATTAACTCAAGCCTATTACGAACATTTATGACAACATATAATGATCATATATGGTTTTAAATGGCATTAAATGATCCCAAGACGTATCTCCTAAAATTTCAAGATTTTCGACATCGGGCCCCGAATCCTCCAAAATTTCTCAAAAAACGTGGATATTTACCATGGTCCCTAATATTGTCCGGGAGTCCCATTGGATGGGTGGAACCATCCAATTTAACTTTAAACGACCAATTTACCGGTTTACAACTTGTACTGATTTCATTAACTCAAGCTTACCACGAACATTTATGACAACAAATAATGATCATATATGGTTCCAAACAACATTATATGACCCCGAGATGTATCCCCTAAATTTCAAGACTTTTCGACACCGGGACTCGAAACCTCCAAAATTTCTTAAAAAGTGTGGATATTTAGCCTTCAATTTTGGAATTTTTTGACTTTTTTTTTTCCCGAAAATAAAAATTGCCGAAATATTTTTCATGGTCCCTAATACTCTTCGGGATTCTTATTGGGTTGGTTGAACCAACCAATTTGCTTTTAAATGACCAATTTAATTACCGGTTTACAACTTGCACGAATGTCATTAACTTAAGCTTACTACGAAAATTTATGACAACATATAATGATCATATATGGTACCAAACGACATTATATGACCCCGAGATGTATCCCCTAAAATAATAATACTTTTCTACACCGGGACCCGAAACCTCCAAAATTTCTCAAAAAGCGTAGATATTAGCCTTCAATTTTGAAATTTTTTGATTTTTTTTTCGCCCGAAAATAAAAATTGCCGAAATGTTTACAATTGTTTTTAATACCCTCTGGGAGTCCAATTAGGTGGGTGGAACTATCCAATTTGTCTTTAAACGACCGAATTACCAGTTTACAACTTGCACCGATTTTATTAATTCAAGTCTACCACGAACATTTATGACAACAAATAATGATCATATATGATTCCAAACGACATTATATGACCCCGAGATGTATCCCATAGAATTTCAAGACTTTTCGACACCGGGCCCCGAAACCTCCAAAATTTCTCAAAAAGCGTGGATATTAGCCTTTAATTTTGGAATTTTTTGACTTTTTTTCGCTTGGAAATAAAAATTTCCGTAATGTTTACCATGGTCCCTAATGTCCTCCGGGAGTCCAATTGGGTGTGTGGAACCATTCAATTTGCTTTTAAACGGGCAATTTACCGATTTACAACTTGCACCGATTTACCGGTTTACAATGGCCAATTTAATTAACTTGCATCGAATTTTAGTTGAACTGAAACTGACCCAAATTCGTTTTAAACCGTCAAAACACGAGTTTAACCCGACTTGTTACAAACCTGACCTGAATTCAACCCGACTCGTTCTTAACCTGACCCGAATTTAACCCAACCTGTTACAAACCCGACCCGAAATCAACCCGACTTGTTATTGACCTAACCCAAATTCAATCCAATTTGGTATTGACCCGACCCAAATTATACCATACCTATTACTTAACTAACTCAAAAATTCAATCCGATCTATTACTAACACGACTTGTTATTGACCTGACATAAATTCAACCCAAATTGTTTCTGACCCGATTTCAAATCACCTTAAATGCAATTTAGACCACCTTATTATTGTTGATAAATTCATTTTGTCTTGGGAGACCAAGTCGGTCCAGGCCAGCAAAAGAAAAGAGCATCATCCTCAAATTTAAGAGTTAAATATAGTATATATCTGTTGTATGGTCAAAGGAGATAATTATCTTCCTAAATTATAGACTATAGTTTCCTAGTGTATTGCCATATATATATTATAGTCAAAGGAAATAATTAGCTTGATAAAAATGATAATTATCTATTTATAATTAGTTGAACCCGTATATGACCTGACTTGGAAATGACCCAACCTGATTGTAACCTGCAAATTATTGACTTGAACATAACTCGACTTGAATCCGAGAATGACCCGACTTGGAAATGATCTAACCTGATTATAACCCGCATATTATTGACTTGAATCAAACCCGACTTTAACCCAAGAATGACCCGACCTAATTATAACCCGCAAATTATTGACTTGAACCGATCCCGACTCAAACCCGAGAATGATCCGATCTGATTCTAACTCGCAAATTATTGACTTGAACCGAACCTGACTCAAACATGAGAATTAACCCGTTTTAACTCGTGAAATCCCGGATTAAACCCGACCTATTGTTCAACCGACTCGAATGTAGCCCGAATTGTTATTAACCCGACCTAAACTTGATCCAAACCCGATAAGAAGTATGACCTGACGTGATCCGACTCAAGCATGACCCAATCCAAATTCGACCTACATAGGTTATGGAATTAATCTTAATTTACCCGATCCGAATTGAACCGACCCACTATTACCCGACCCAAACCCAACCCTTTTTCCCAAATTGACAGCTCTACTCGTAAATTATTAATTTTCCGGTTGTCGTACTCCAAAAATTATTACAGTTAGGCAATAATATTGAAAGAAGGGGATTAAGGAATCATGAGTCAATAATGACTATTATGTTTCAAACATATAATACTCATTTTACATAGTCAATGGAAGTTTAAATAAAGTCGTTCTGTATATAGTTTCCGAAAGTAGATTTTAATAAATATTGATAATATGAAATTATAAATAGGCAAAATTGGTATAAATCACTTTTTTTGTCCAACTTTTTTGAAAAAAACCACCTTTTATGTTTTTTTATTTACTAAATCACCTTTTAAGTACCATAATTCTTGATTGCATTACCCCTATTTTAAATTTTGACAAAAAAATTAACTGAGACGTCAAAGGGGCCCACAACTTGTGTCTTTCGCTCCTAAATTATGTATTTTTTTCACCCAAAAACATTTGACCCTCCCCTCTATATAAATGCATGACTAAATTGAGTAAATCTTTAAAAAAACCAAACGTAATTTTGCTACAAAAATTAAATTGTAGTATTTGTTTATTCTCAAACCCTAAATTGAGGTTATTGAAGTGATGGTTGAGATGGAAGGGAAGGTTTTGCTATGGTTGATGATTTGGAAGTGGATGGTTGAGATACAATCTGTTAGATTTGAAATAGGGGTGGTGTAATAAAAAATTTAGGTACTTAAAAGGTGGTTTAATAAATAAAAAAGCATAAAAGGTGTTTTTTTCAAAAAAAGTTGGACAAAAAAGGTGGCTTATACCAATTTTACCTTATAAATATTTTTAAAAAGTGTATTATAATGAATAATGCAAAGAAACAAATGAGTAAATGAAAAGAAAACTATTGAAATCCATTGTAATCCCATTTATTTAATTTTATAACATTTATTCATGTTTATAACACTTATAAACATTTATTCATGTTAGCTATAAATCCATTAATTAGCCATTGAACAATCTGCTTGTGCAAAGAGTAACTGGCCAACATGATTATCATATAAAATCCGTTGGTTCATCTGCTGGTACGCTCCCAAGTATGTAACACTATTATGTTCTTCTTGTGTACTTTCGAGATACATCAAACAAACCATGGCATTTCCGCTACTGGCTTGGCTGATGACAAAGCTCGCAGGTGGTGGTATAACCAAGTCCGCATTATTAGCAAAATGATACGTAATAATTGGAACCTTAATGTCAATCGGATCCGCAATACGTTCGTAACAAAGCCTAAGTCCCAATTCCGGCTGATCCATCTTCCTCACATTGTGATTGCTTGTTTCAATGACGTTCGAAACAGCATCTAAAAACTTTCCGTAAGCTTCCGAGACAATGTACGAGGTTGCGGCCCCCGAGTCTATGATACACCCTCCTCTACCATCTGCGATTAGTTGGAACATTGAGGGATCAACATCTAGTCGTTGAGGGCCTACAGTGATCCCTTCGAGGGTTAAGTAGTACGTTGAACGGTCTTGGAAGCGTTGTAACGGTGTCGATTTCATTCCTGATGGTTCAACCACGTCGGTTCCAAATCGAAGGAACATGGGTGAACCACCAGCTGCTTTGGCTGACGGCAATTGTAAGCAGTATGAGAATCGCCCCTTTGACACTGCATCAGCTCGGTTCCAGAAACTAAAATCGCCGTAACCCATGCCCATAAGTCCGCTGATTTTGTTATCATCTTTAGCTCCTGCACAAAAATATATATTCAACATTTCAAGTCGATTTATTCAATTTCGCCTGAAATTATTTTATCTAAATTGATTTTATTTTATTAAAATATATCGTGTACTAATTAGTTTATTTGAAATTTTAAATCTTATTTCTGTAATAACTACTATCTCCGTTAAATGTTATATTTAACTCTGGAATATTTTATAACTCACCAATAATACCCAAAAATTGCATATAATAATTAATGAAGGTAGTATTCATTCTAAACTAATTTTGTGTGAAATATAAATATATTAAAATAAAATGAAATAAGGACACAAAGTTATGGATTGATAGGCTAATAATTGAGTGAATTAATTGTGCAAATCTTCTTAAAAAAACATGACACAACATGACCGAACAAATATAAAATCGACTACGTATTACTCGTACCTTCTTTAAAATTTTGCATGTTAATGCCACAACCGAAAAAAGGCGTTAAATACAGCTACATATTGGTCGTAGTCAGATTGGAAGGTTAAAGTTTCCAAGGCAGCAATAGCTAATTCGGATGAATCGTCGCTATAAACTCGTTCCAATTTACAACCATCACTTTGGCATTGTGCACTAGAAGGGCAATGTTCACAAGGAAGTGGTTTGTAAGATTGTGATTGACTAGCTGGAAATAAGGGATCTGCTTGATGAAAGCAATTTTGGCCGCAACCTTCGCATTGTGTCCATGTAAGATCACTGCCCGTATCTAAGCCTAGGTAATAAGTTTTGTACCTTGGATCTTGATTAAATGTACCAATACCAACTTGCACATAATATAATAGATCCACGAGACCTAAAGAAGGTCGTACGATCCAATCATTTATGTGACGCGACTTCAAAGAGGTAGTATTTGTATTGGTACCATGTAACCTTGTTAGGGATTTAACTCTAGAATTCGACAAACGAATATACTCTTCCCATATCTTGTTTTCAGTAAGGTTGTTGGTGCGATGTATAGGTGATTCAGGAGAGTATCGATGAATCATTTTAAGACTAAAACCAATATGGTTTTTAGTAGCATGACTACTTTGAAGGAAGTTATCGACTGTAAAGAAAAGGAGTGACACGAAAAAAAGCTGTAACACGGGATTAGCCATAGACAATAAAAAGGTCTTTGAAAATTGGGAATCCCTCAGTTTTTTTTTTCCAGAGAGTTTACTTAGCTTGACTCTTAATTTTTTTTTTTGACAGGTTGACTCTATAAATATTCACTTAATTATTCATCTGTACATTAATAATTTTCTCACCAATAATGCTGGTCAAAGATAACGGTTTTATTTATGGAATGTAATATGATTAATGATATCAAAATGATAAGTTACTTATATATGTAAATATCTTTGATATACTACCTAAACAAAGTTTTAATTAAAATTAAAATGGAGATTTTATCGACTATATATATTTTTGAGCCCATGAGAAAACCCACATGTGAGTGGTGTGTTGTCTCACATTAATTGAGTGTATAAGTGAGAGTTTGCATTGGGATGTGCATCCCTCATTGAAGAAAGAAGATAATTGTGTCCGTTTTATAAGGCTAAGGGGCTACTCTCCTTATTGCCATATGGTTTTGAGGTGCAACCTCCTTGGTCATATATAGTGGACAATCATGACGGTGTGGCCCAAAAGTGTTTATGATGGTATCAGAGCCAAGTTGGGTTATGTTGTGATCTGGGCACATTAGTTGACTTGTATAAGTGAGAGTTTGTATTGAAATGTGTATCCCACATTAAAGAAAGAAGATAAATTGTGTCAACTTTGTAAGGCTAAGAGGCTACTCCCCTTATTGCCATATGTATAGATAAATCATAACTAATGACCAATTTAAGAATCGATCTCAGAATAATCACTAAGGAGGACATTATATTAAAGTGAAAATTTTAAGGTACATCAGCCTGTACCTTGCATGCTACAGACAAAAAGCGTGGAAAGAACAAGAACCTGTTTTATAAAGAACATACTGCTGCTTTTTAAAGAACATATAGCAGTTTTGTAAAGAACATCTAATTTTATGTTTTTTTATATACATAAAGAACATCTGTAATATTAATAAAGAACATGAAGATTTTATGTAATAAACATTATTTATATATATCTACCATAGTTTTATTAAAAAATTTAATGAACCTCTCAATAAGCAATGAACATTATATCACAAATAAAAGTTCATTACACTGACATATGTTCTTTTCACTCTTTTTTGGTGCAAATATGTTCCTTTTACTTTAGGTATATGTTCTTTAAATTATAATAGTATGTTCTTTTCCCTACAGTTTTATGTTCTTTACATTTGTATAATATGTTCTTTTTGCGAAACGGTGGTACGCTGCAAGGTACTTACGCCTGTAGGAACCACACATTGATATTAAAGCAAACTGAAAACTCAAACAATTAATGCTATTATTTATATATAAGAAGATAGCTAAGCTAGTATCAATGAACGACCCTTGTTGCAATCCTCTTAATGTTATTATTACGGCTAAGAATATAGCTAGCTAGTATCAACGACCCTTGTTGCAATCCTCATTTGCAACGAGTAGTTGTCCATTTGGAATATCATATGTTATCCGATGACCAACTTGTTGTGTAGATCCTAATACGGTCATACCATCACCGTCTTCCATACTATTTTCGAAAATCTTCAAGCAAACTAGGACTTGACCATCATGTTTGGTGTAAATTTCAAATGTTACATCAGAATTCATCACGAAAATCGCGTTATTTGCAAACTTCCAAGTAATCCAAGGAAGATTAAGGGTTGTAGGCTCACGTACACGCCTGTAACAAAGGCCGAACCCTTCATACCTTGCTGAAGCATCATCTAATCTCTCTAAATTTGAGTTTCTAGATTCAATAGATGATGCCACCTCTTTTTCTAAGGCTTGGTACGCCGAAGTAGTAACAAGGCTTATGGATGTGCCTGTGTCGATGATGGTTCCTCCTTTTCCGTCTGGTGTGATTTGAAACGCGTTAGGAGGAATTTCAAGGTCCTTTTTGTTTACCTGAATACCGCGAAGATCTAAGTAGTAATAAGGTTTGTTCTGATGTTGAAACATTGGGGTGGCACTAGGCTTTCCGGGTTGTATACAATCATCTCCAAATCGAAGTAACATTGGTGGTAAATCTTGATATTCTTTCTTTTGTAAGCAATATTGGAATTTTCCATTAACCACAGTTTTTTTTTGTTCATGGAAGCTACGTGCGCCATAACTCATTCCGAATATTCCACTTATTTTGTTGTTTGGATCATCATCTGCATTACAAGTTTACAACACAAACAAAGGGTACCTCATGTTATTTATTGTATATCAAATGAAATAAAGATATATGCATGAATAATGAAATTTTAGAATTTGGGCCCAATATAAATGAGGCCCTGTGTTTTGTATAGCCCAATAACGGCTCTTGAAAAGATATTTATACCAGCAATAACAAGAGTCAACTCTCAACAAAAGCTATATTTTCAACAAGGATGTAACTTTCAAAATTGTGTTTAAAAAAAAAAAATTTAAAAAACCAAATTGTATTTGATATTCAAAATTGACAATTGTTAATGACGAAAGACACCAAGTACTTTTCAATAACAAAATTGATGGAAAAAAAAAATCTTTAGTGATTGAGAAGTGATGTAAAAGATTGATTGGTTACTCTTTTTTTTGTACAATATTGTTAAATTGTTCTAATTTATATTTTCATTCTATAAAGATTTTATAATTTATATATGCTAATACGAAATTAAAGATATTAACGGTGTACATTACAAGCCATATAAAATGTGAATGGAAAGATAAATGAAGAACAAATTGAAGTAATATCATACCTTGATGAAAACCTTGCATGTTGAGACCGCAACCAAAAAGAATAAAATCCACTAGTCGAGGAGTCGTTGGAGTCTCGAAGGTAAAAGATTCATGAGCCAAAACCGATTCGACTTTGGCGCCATCTCCATAGTTGGTTTCCAACTTGCAAATATTGTTCTCACACTTTGCGCCTGAAGGACACTCGGTGTGGCAAGGAACTTCCTTATAAGTAATAGATTTACTTGCGGGATATAACGGGTCTACTTGTCGAAAGCAATTGTTACCGCAACCTTCACATTGTGTCCATATGAGATCACTCGCGGTATCAAACCCTAGATGAACTGTTTTATGAGATGGAATTGGATCGAATATGCCCATTCCCAATTCTACCGCGTAGATAAAAGAACCTAATCTTATTGGTGGTCGTATTGTTGGATCATCATTCTTGGTTTTGTTGTTTTTACCTAAGTTTGCAAGTGATTTGATTCTGAGCTTGGACATTTTGATGAATTCCCTTCTTCTCGTTGCATCCATTTGTGCAAGGTTTGGTCCATTTCCATGAACTAATCTAAGGCTAAAACCTTTGTGACTTTGGGTGGTAGCATTATTATCAATAGCATGGATGATTTTGGGTGCTAGAGAAAGAAGGATAATAATAACAATTGGTGAAAAATAGACTAATTTATTTGGATTAGCCATTGAAGCTAGTTGTTGAAAGAAAATGAATCAGTGAAAACAAGTGGTATTTTATATACTAGTATATTGAGTGAAATTTGCATACTACAATTTGAATATGATATACTTGTATTTTATAGCACATGTACATTTATGATTATTTAATGTTACAATCATCTTTGATTTTTATTTCTTACTGATTTAGGATGGATGAGTGTTATTAAATTTGGAGATATATTTGTTTTAGACCCCCTTATTTTGATTTGATTGTTTTTGTGAGTCATATTATCATATATAAGCGCATGTGATCCTATCCAAGTTTCTCCCCCTTTGGCCAACCCACAAGATGCCATGGTCTTATATATTTGTGATTTGTATTAAATGAATTTATTACTCATTAGTTCAATGTCAAATTACATACAAAATACCATTATATATTTTACCTTACCATGTGAAATTTACTTTCCATGGATGCATACCTGAAAATTCTATAGTAGTCACCTGACTACCATCAATAATCAATAACTATATACTAAAAGACACACCAGCAATGACACGTGTCATCTCCTGGTGTGTCCTTAGTATTATTTTTTTTTTGTAAAAAAATTTAATTATAATATAAATCTTATACAAAAATAATTTCTTATATAATTTAACAAAGATAATTACTTTGAATAAAAAATATTTGATATAAAAAAGATTTAATATATTTTTTCACTCAAACATTTATGACTATTATAGATAATATTAACATAATTTGCGACATATTTTAATGTACTTCAAGGAAGTATGCATATTTTTTTCAATAAAAATAGTTGTTCATTTATTGATTAGAATTCTCATCAAAGTAGTGTGTATATTTATTATTTGTTTTTTATATTTTAAAATTTTTTGTAAAATAACCAATTAAATTTAAAATTGATAGGGGTATTATTTTTTAAAAATTACCGTGCGTGGCACGGTACCTAAACTAGTTATACTTAATTTTCATTGACCAATTTTTAATTTATTTTTTATTTGTCAAATTTATTAAAAATAATTTTTCATTTTTAGAAACTTATTTTTAATTTAGAAATTTGTTTTTTGAATTTTTTATAAGTTTGACAAACAAAAATAAATAAAAAATCAATCAATGAAAATGAAGTATAGTGATAGTCAGATTAAGGATGTCTACTATTATACCATTATCATATGAATCTCCCCTATTTCCAGGTGTGATTTTTATACTCCATCAAAATATACAAGGTTAAAATAAAATAAAAAAAATATCAGATTTTGGAAAATAGAGAATTTGTAGGAATAAATAATTTTTATTTAATTATGCAAGCTAAATAACTATTACACATCAATTATCACCATAACAAGGCGCTGGATTGAAGTATAGTAGAGCATTATCAACATCATATACAATCCGATGACTCTTCTGTTGTTGTGCTCCCAAAACCGTCAAACGGGTATCTACATTTTCCGAACTATCAAGCATTGTGAAGCAATATATGTAATTACCAGTAACTTTTGATATTCTAGAAATAAAGGTTGTTTCATCTGAAAGAACGAAGGCGGTGGCATTAGCAAAATGGAATATGATTGTAGGAAAATAAACAATATCTGGTTCCGTCGAAATTTGTTCGTAACAAATTTTAAGACCCAAAAAAGTCTCGGACTCATTTAATCTTCGAACATTAGAATTTGCGCTTTCGATGTAGTGTATCACCGCAGATGCCATTATACTGTAGGGTTCCGAGGCCATGGTAGAGAACATCGGCACTGGGTCTATTATACACCCGCCTGTAATATCTTTCTCATTGAAAGCGAAAACCTTGGGATCGATATCTAGTAACGTAGAATCGACGGTGATGCCTTGGAGGTCCAAGTAGTATCTAGGGAGACTTGGGTACAATTTTATTGTTGTTTTTTGTAGTCCGTCTACTAGTTGCATCGCATCGTCGCCGAATCGGAGGTACAAAGTAGAATCACCAAATGGTAAGCAGTAAGAGAACACTCCTTTGAAGTATGCTCTGACTTGATTCAGGAAACTAAATTCGCCGTTACCCATTCCCAATTTTCCATTTATCCTGTTATTTTTTATACTACCTGCGTGAGATTGAAAACAATTATTCTTCAATTACGATAGAATGAAATAATCAAGTGAAAGAGTATACACTGCACCCTAGTAGAATTATTCTCAAAAAAAATTAAATTAAAATGAGGGGGACTACAATAACCATATAAATTACCCACAAATTAAAACCAAGAATTTTAAAAATATGAGTATATTGAATATTTGCAATGTGAAAAATGAGAAATTGGATTTTTTTTTTTCTATGATGCAATTTTTACACTTCGTATAACCTTATAGAATGTAATTGTTACGATATTAATAACTACATACTAAAAGACACAACAACAATGATACAACATAAAGCAATAGTGATTATAAAAAATTAAAAACTATAATGGTATTTTAAAAGAAATATGACACAACATGAAGCCATAGTTTAATAATGGTTATTAATTATTATAATGATATTAAAAAACTATAAATTAAACTTTAAATATATTAAATTAAAAATAATGATATTAAAACTATAATAATATTTTTTTTTGAAGAATGCTATTAAAACTAAATAAAATTTAAATTATAATGAAATTAAAATTAAATAATATTAAAATTTAAATTATAATGATAATTTAACCATGGTTCTTAAAAATTAAAAATTAAAAATTAAAAATTAAAAATTAAAAATTAAAAATTAAAAATTAAAAATTAAAAATTAAAAATTAAAAATTAAAAATTAAAAATTAAAAATTAAAAATTAAAAATTAAAAATTAAAAATTAAAAATTAAAAATTAAAAATTAAAAATTAAAAATTAAAAATTAAAAATTAAAAATTAAAAATTAAAAATTAAAAATTAAAAATTAAAAATTAAAAATTAAAAATTAAAAATTAAAAATTAAAAATTAAAAATTAAAAATTAAAAATTAAAAATTACCGAAAGCTAACCAAGTTTAAAAGAAAGATGATACGACATGAAGCCATAGTGATTATCGAGTAGTTCATCTTACCTTGGTTGAAATTTTGCATGTTAATTCCACAGCCAAACGTGACATTCTGCAATTGTACTATTAGGCTGTTTGGGCTGCTACCTTGAAAAAGAGTGGAGAATGTTTCAGAGGCAAGAATGGCTATTAAAGATGAACCATCCCCATAAGTACGATTCCATGTACAAGCACCATCACTTTGGCAACGTGCACCATATGCATAAGGGCATTGATTGCAAGTATATGGTTTATAGGTTCTAGATTGACTAGCAGGATATGGGGCATCTGTTTGATGAAAGCAATTTTGGCCACAACCTTCGCATTGCATCCATGTAAGATCATTTCCGGTATCCAATTCGAAGTTATAAGTCTTGTAACTTGGAAAATGTTCAAAACTACCAATCCCAAGTTGCACATAGTAATATAGACCAAAACCATGTATTGTAGGTAGAATGAACTCATCAGTACTATAACTCGATTTGGTTGATGAGCTAATATTTTTTGTTCCATAGAGTGCTCCTAGTGAGTTAAATCTGCTAATTGAACTTTGAACGTATTCCTTAATTTTATCTTCTTCTGTAAGGTTGGCACGAAATGTAGGTGATTCAGGAGAGTATCGATGAATCATTTTAAGGCTAAAACCATTATGTTTTTTATGAGCATAACTATTTTCAAAGATAATAAAGAAAAGGAGAGCTGGTAAAAAAATATTTAATGGTAAACTAACCATGGCTAAAATTTGGAGAATGTTTTGCTTAGGAGGTGTATGAGCCTATCCTTAAAGATACAGAGTATAAGAAGAATGATGATTATCTTGAATATTGTGACTGAATTTGTAGAATACAGCATGAAGAATATTTCAAGATCTAGAATAATCAAAGTGTGCATCCCCCTTTTCTCTGATATCAACCCTTTCATAAGTCAACTTTACAAAATCTAGAATTACCTTCTACAACGTATATCTACAAGGACATTATCTTATACGAAGTATCTCTTTTGATATAGTCTAGTAATTTTGGAGATTGTCCTACTTTATCAAATGATACACAAAATTTATTTATCAAATGACATTTTCATGATAAAATAATTTCAGTTAAGCAAAATAATGTGAAGAGAACATGGCCTACTTCGTTCGTACGTTATTATTTAGTTTACCCGTATTCTTTTTTAGACAAAATTATAAATTCTCTCAATTAACACGTTTCTTTTTCTATTAGCAAAGTTTTGTTATGTACAATTTCACTTTTACTGTTACTAACCCCATATAACGCCACCCGATTTTGAGTGGGTAGGATCATTAAAATCATTTTTCTTCTTAATCAATCACACCTCGCGATTTAATGTAATTGGCGTGTCAAATTGTCAATACGTCGTCAAATGAATAAGGATACGGCTGATAATTAGGTAATTTTTAAACAAAAAAAAAGGATAAAAAAACAAGATCAAACATTGTATCCCATGATTTCAAAAGGTTGACTCATTTTCTTAATAGAAAATAGATCATTCAAAACCTTTATAATCAACTATATTATCTTAAATTTGTATTAAGTCACAACCTCTAAATAAATTATCACTACTACTAGGCTAAGGGTGTTCATTATTGAAACCGGACGGGATCGGTCCGGGTAAAACCGGATATTTTCAGTCCGGCCCAAAATCCAGTTCAAGTAAAGTTTTTTTTTTTTTTTAAATAAATAATTTTAAATTAAATGGCAGCATCTATACACTACTTACGGACTGTTTTATTTGCAAAGTGAATGACAAAATACATACAATTGGCTAACAAAGAGGAAACACATTGAAGCAAACACAAACAATGAATTACTATTCTTATTATTAATCATAAAAAGTTAACTAGAAGTAGTATAAACTAACGACCCAAATTGCAATTCTCATCTGCAACGAGTAGTTGTCCATTAGGAAGATCATATGTTATACGATGACCCACTTGGTGGAGTGATCCTAATAGGGTCACACCACCAATTTCCTCCGGAGATTCCAAAAATAACAAGCAAACGAAATCTTCACCCTCAAGTGTGTAAATTTCATATAATACATCAGGATTAATAAGGAAATTTACATCATTTGGAAACAACAAAGTAATCCAAGGAAGATCAAAGGCCGTAGATGCACCACTAACTCGCTTGTAACAAAGATGATCATCAGGATCATAAGGATCTAACCTCACAACACCCGAGTTTCTAGATTCGATGTAAGCAGCTACCTCGGCTACCAAGACATGGTAGGCCTCTGGGGTTATATAGGTTTCGTCCGTGCCTGAGTCAATCACGGTTCCTCCGTTTCCATTTTGGGAGATTTGAAAAACATTAGGAGGAATCGCAAGAATTGTTTGGGCAACCCTAATGCCGCGGAGATCTATGTAGTAGATAGGTCTGTTCTGAAATCGAAACATTGGGATCGATCGAGGCGGTCCAGTGGGTTGTATACAATCATCTCCAAATCGAAGGAACATTGGTGGTAAAGCTTGAGCTACTTTCTTTTGTAAGCAATATTGAAATTTTCCGTGAACCAACTCTTGTCTTTGTTGTTCTTGGAAGCTAAGTTCGCCATAATTCATTCCGAACATTCCACTTATTCTATTGTTTTTATCTCCTTCTGCAACACAATACAAATTATAGGGTATCCTAATAAGTTATTTGATTATGGTATTTTTTGTTCAAGGTTCTAACATTTTATTATGTGCGACATTGTTAAGATCATTGTAATGTTTATTTTCAAAATATTAACTTTTTATAAATTATGCTAATACGAAATTAGAGATATTACTTGTACAATTGATCTTACATGTCACATGAAAAAAAAAAAAAAACAGAGGAAGTAATAAATACCTTCAGCGGTAAAACCTTGCATGTTGAAACCGCAACCGAATAAAACATCATTCAAAACTAGAGGAGTAGTTGCAGTCTGGAAGGTAAACGATTCATAAGACAAAACCACTTGAACTACGGCACCATCTCCATACTCTCTGGTCAGCCGGCAAGTATCGTCCACACATGTTGCGCCGGGAGGACAGTTATGGCAAGGGAGTTGCCTATAAGTATAAGATTCAGTTGCAGGATAAACAGGATATACTTGTTTAAAACATTTATCACAACCTTTACATTGAGTCCATATGAGATCACTTCCGGTATCGAACCCGAGATAAACTGTTTTATGAGATGAAGATGGATCAAATGTGCCTATTCCCAACTCTACCGCGTACATAGTAGTATCTATTACCATTTGCGGTCGTATTATTGGGTCATTTTTAGTTTTGTTTTTTTCACCTATTCGGGCAAGTGATTTTAGTCTAAGCTTGGACATTTGAATGTATTTCATTCTTGTTGTTGCATTCATTTCCATAAAGTTTGGTCGATCTCGATGAACTAGTCTAAGACTAAATCCCTTGCGATTTTGGGTGGTAGTGTTATTATGAGTAGCATGGATGATTTGAGAAAGACTAGCTAGAGAAAGAAGGATAATAATAATTTGTGAAAAATAGGATGATTTATTTGTATTAGCCATTGGTGAAGGGCTTGTTATTAGTTGTGAAAAATAATATGTGAAAAATGGGCTAATTTATACTATTTGACATGTTTAAAGCTTGTATAAGTTCATTTGAAAGAGAATGTGAAATAGGAACGTTTTTAGTCATTTAGGCCATATTTGGTTGATAATGATTCCAAATGGTCCAAAAAACAAGTAACTTGCTTCTTTTGTAATGCTTTGCTTAGGCACTTATATATATACCTATATTTGAGATGTTTAAAGCTTGTACAAATTCATTTGAAAGATCAAAAAATGTGAAAAATAGGAACGTTTTTTAGCCATTTAGGTCATATTTGGTTTATTTTGGTTTTAAATGGTCCTAAACACAAGTAAGTTGCTTTCTTTTGTAATTTCTTTGCTTAGGCAATTATAGCTACCTATATATGACATGTTTAAAACTTGTAGAAGTTCAATTGATAGAGAATGTTAAAAATGAGAACACTTTTAGCCATTTATGCCATATCTGGTTGATTATGGTTCCAAATGGTCCTAAAAACAAGTAACTTGCTATTTTTTGTAAACTATTTGCTTAGGCACTTATAGCTACCTAAATTTGACATGTTTAAAGATTGTACGAGTTCATTTGAAAGAGAATGTGAAAGACATGAACGTTTTTAGCCATTTAGGCCATATTTGATTGATTTTGGTTTCTAATGGTCCTAAAAACAAGTAACTTGCTTCTTTTTTTTTTCTTTTTTTTTTGTTTTTGTAAATTCTTTGCAAATTGGAACGTTTTTAACCATTTAGGCCAAATTTGGTTGATTTTGGTTCCAAATGGTCCTGATTGTATGGTAATCATCCTTAAAATGGTTTCTAATTACACTAATTTTTTATTGTCGATTTTGATTTATTTTTTAATGTCAAAATTAATTATACATAATTTATCTAATTTTAAAAAATCTAAGGCCCTATAATTATGAGGACCCAATTGTTTTCAGAGCCTGAGCTAATAAAAATAAAATTATTCCATATATTCTCCACTAATTCTTTCTCATGCTTCAAAGAAAACAACATTTCCTATGAAGTATAATTTCTAGATCTTTTACATAACTTCACTAGTGTGCCCGAGCAATGTATCATATTTTACTTTGAATATCAATAAATATTGTTTGAGTTATAAAATATATAATACTACGTATATAATTTTTAAGAAAAAGTGAACAATAATAACTAATACAAAGTATTTAGTACATTATAAATGAATATGTATGTTTTTTTTGGGTGCAAAAGAGGGGCTAGGCCCCAAAGAACAAAACTAAAACAATTACGAAGGAACAAAATTTGGCCAAGCCACCCCTACAAAGTTTTCAAGTAAAATACGCTCTAAAGCTAAAGGGGGGAATTGAATTAACTCAATATTATATTGTTGTTCTGCAAAACACCTTGATTCGCTAGCCAGTCAACTGCTCTATTTGTTTCTCGGTAAATATGATGAATTTTCACATGCTTATTAATCCAATTTTTTTTTTATCTTGTGTTCAAACTTTGTCATTAACATTTCAAAGCGTTTTGTGTGAGACCGGACTCACGTGAGACCGGGCTCAACAATAAAAGGCCAACAAAAAGGTACGGGCTGACTAAACCCGATTGCGAGGCCCGCGACACCAACTCCGCATTAGTACCGTGTCTACCTCCATTTTCATGGCTTGTTCTTCGCTGTTGTTGATACTCAGAAGAAGGAGGTTAAGCTTCGAAGACCAGCTTCCAAGTCTAGATCGAGAGACTACCGATTCTTTAATACTCTGACCTTTCTCTCTCCTACACCAAAAATGAAGTTATAGGAGAGAGAAAATTGGATCAAAAATCTGGTATCACTTGAAACCAGAACGACAATGGCGGAAAATTTAATAAACAAAGTAACAGTTGCCTTGTTACTAACTTTATTGTTTAATTTTTATTTATTTATTAATTTAAGCATTTATGATTAATCTTATCTTAATTATTACTAAAACAGGATAGGAATTAAACTTCCAACAGTAGAAGGAAGATTTGAGCATTTAACGGTTGAAGCAGATTGTTGTGTCAGTACAAGAGCTCTTCCAACACTACCTAATACTGCTCGTTTAGTTTGATTGGTATTACATTGGCTGAAAGGAAAAAGCTCACTATCCTTAAAGATATTTCGGGCATTGTTATACCTGACCAATTATACCTATTATCAAACATTATAAGTATAATACCTGACCAAATATACCTATTATCAAACAAAATAAATCTAATACCTGACCAAATATACCTATTATCAAACAAAATAAATATAATATCTGATCAATATAATCTATTACCAAGCAAAATAAATCTAATACCTGACCAATATAACCTATTACCAAACAAAATAAATCTAATACCTGACCAATATATACTATTACCAAACAAAATAAATCTAATACCTGACCAATATATCCTAATACCGAACAAAATAAATCTAATACTTGACCATTATACCTATTATCAAACAAAATAAATCTAATACCTAACCAATATATTCTATTACCAAATAAAATAAATCTAATACCTGACCAATATATCCTATTATCAAACAAAATGAATTTAATACCTGGCCAATATATCCTATTACCAAACAAAATAAATCTAATACCTGACGAATATAATCTATTATCAAACAAAATAAATATAATACCTGACTAATATAACTTATTATCAAACAAAATAAATCTAATACTCCGTACTCGAAAAATATTAAAAAACCGAGGGAGTATCAAATATTCAACAAACATGTTACTCCGATATACTCTAAAAAGCTTGGTCAGATAATGAAATTTTACTGCACATAATGCAATTCAAGTTGTATGAATGCTTTTTAATGGACTATTCTTGTAAAATGCAGCTATATGTATAGGATGACTCAGATAGAGTATATTCCGCTTCATATTACCATATTTACTAATAAAGCAGCCAAGCTTCTATTTGGGAACATCAGTGCTGAAAATTAGTACAAGTCATACAAGTTCTTGACGAAGAATTGAAATTTGAGAAAGTCGCCGCCATTGTTGAGAGTCCTTTCATGGTTGAAGGTTTGCAGAAGAAAGCAATAGAGATGAAGAAGAATAAGAATTGAAGAAGAATATAAAATCGGGCCGCGCGCGGGCCTTATAATAGAACGGACTCACGTGAGTCCGTTCTACACAATATTTTTCCTTAACATTTTTATTGCCATTGAAACATGCTTATAATATAATGGATAATGTATTATGTGACATTTTTTAAATACATGTGAAGCGTGCCATATTTTGTATTAGGAAGACTTAGAAATATATGAAGTCTAAATATAAAAATCTCTTGAGAAAGAATTATTATTCTTATTGTTATAATTTGTAAATACTAATTATGAAAATATCTTAGTATAAACTAACTAACGACCTTTGTTGCAATCCTCATTTGCAACGAGTAGTTGTCCATTTGGAATATCATATGTTATCCGATGACCAACCTGGTGGTGAGATCCTAATATGGTCATAGAATCGTCTATAATGGTCAAGCAAACTAGTACATCGCCACTATGTTTGGTGTAAATATTAAACACTACGTCAGGGTTCGTTAGGAAAATTGCATTATTTGCGAACACCCAAGCTAAGTAACCCAAGGAAGACTAAAGGTTGTAGGCTCACGTACACGCTTGTAACAAAGCCCGAACCCTTCGTAACGAGCTGCAGAATTACTTAGTCTCTCCAAATTTGAGTTTTTAGCTTCGATTTGTGCTGCCAACTCGGTTACTAACACACGGAACGCCTTTGTGGCTAGAAAAGTTACGGTTGAGCCTGTATCGATGAGGAATCCTCCGGTTCCATCGGGCTTGATATCGAACACATCAGGAGGAAGTTCGAGGTTCTTCTGGTTCACCTGGATGCCACGGGCTTCTAAGTAGTAGAAATCACTGTTTTCGTGTCGAAACATTGGGATGGAACTAGGCGTTCCGGGTTGTATACAATCATCTCCAAATCGAAGGTACATTGGTGGCAATTCTTGAGCTTCTTTCTTTTGGAGGCAATATTGGAATTTTCCTTTAACCAAATCAGTTTTTTGTGCTTGGAAGCTATATTTGCCATAACTCATTCCGAACATTCCACTTATTCTATTGTTTTCTTCGTCACCTGCATTAGAACACAAGTTAAAGGGTATAAGAGTCACAATGACATATGATGTAAACGGAATTTGATCCTAAGTCTTGATCGAGTATCATCTTTCAAGACTTTAACCAACTATGCTTGAAAATTTTATAATAGTATGTTGGTAAATGACTACCATTAGCTAAACTAAACGACATAATATTCTAATTTCTAAAATTGATTTTTAAACTCTAAAATCATTATAATATCTAAAAAACCCATTATAATTTCAAAATATAATAAAGAAATTTTCAGAAATTAAAAAAAAATGATTTTTGATTAATTTTTGCATTTAAAAAACCAAAAATAAACATGACATGTAAAATTTCAGCTAACTACAACACGCCATTTATTTTAATGTATGATAATCGTTTTCATATGAACGTAGTGAAATCATACATTAGCTAGTTGTTCATCCATACAAAAGATCGCGTGGAATGCAATTAAAATAAATCTAACATATTTATAAATAATAAGACATTTTTTGGAAGCATTGATAATCAAGCCATAGAAGCAAGGGCTTATTTGAACCAATTGTATTTTATTTTAGAAAATCCAATCGGCATGTAAGCAAAATTAACAAATGAGATTTGAGAGTTAATTTTTAAATATAAAAACAAGCAACAAATAGTTATTTTAAAACTTTTTTTTTTGTGCATATAAGATAATCCTAGGAATGACAAAACATATTTAAATGAATTTATTTTTAATAAAAACTACCAGGTAATTAACAATAACAAATAAGCTTGCATCATAAATTATACTCCGTATTTAAAAAAAAATTAAAACTTAGACTTTTAATTTGAATAGGATATAGCAATTTAATTAAATTATTGTATTATTTTTTAGTCTGAAACTGTTGGAACAACAAGTGTGTAGTGTGTGAATTTTGTGAAAAAACTCAAAGTCCCTCATTGGTGGGAAATGAGAGTTTTACTCTCTTTATAATATAGAGAGTGGGCTAAAGGGGTGTGGCCCTTGGGCTACCCACATTTTGTGGAGAGGGAGGACCTATATGGTAAACCATATATCACACACACGCGCGCCGAACCGAACCGAGCCGGGTCGGGTTTGGGTTTGGGTTATTAAACAAACTTAATTTTTGTTACCGGTTTGATTAATATTCAGTTACAAAACGTTTTACTGTTTTGGTTTAAATTTTTCCGTTACATTGCTTGATTCTCGTTGCTGTTTTACTGCTAAATGTTGCACCGTTACACTAATTTAATGCCTTCATTCTTGCTTAACGAATACACTAATTGCAGTAAACGTTGCTAATCTTTTTCCCGTTTTCATGCTTAAGCTGTTACGTATCTTTACCTATAAAAGGACGGTTCCACCTTTGTTTTTAAATACACGAAAAAAAAAACAGAAAACCACTTTGCAAAATATATTTTCTCTTCCTCTCAAAACAGTCGAGCAGTTTCTTTCTGATTTTCTGGTGTTCCGTTGTCCGGTGGTTCGGTGCAAAACCGCCGGTATTTTATACTTGTGAAAGACTGTTTTATCCTGGGGGCATCCGGTTTGGTACGAGCTGCTTGCACAAGTTTGAGGCAGTGCCGCGAATGTTCTACAGAGAGCGACATAGTCCGCGACTCAGTCTTATTCTCGGTAACATTGTTCTTACTATTTTATTTGTGCAATTCCGTTTATAACAAAAACTATTGAATAGTAAAAAGAATCAAATAATTATATAAAAAAAAAACCTTAAACCGTGCATCACATGGACTCATCTAATAATAAATAAATAAATAAATAAATACGAGAGCAAACCATACCTTCATGAAAATTTTCCATATCAATTCCACAACCAAAAAGAACACCCTCAATAGTAAGAGGAGTGTCGGTTGTAGTGGCGAAGGTAAGAGATTCACGAGCTAAAATCGCGACGACTTTGGCCCCATCTCCATACAACACTTTCACCCGGCAAGTTTTGCCCACACATTCTTCTTCAGGACACTCGGAGCAAGCGAGTTCACTATAAGTATAAGATTGAGTTGCAGGATAATTCGGGTCGACTTGATGAAAACATTCATCACAACCTTCACATTGAGTCCATATGAGATCACTTCCGGTATCGAACCCTAGATAAACTGTTTTATGAGATGATGAAGGATCAAATGTACCCAATTCCAATTCAACCATGTACGTAAAAGTGTCTAATCTTATTGGTGGTCGTATTATTTCATCTTGGACTAATGTTTTGTTGTTTTTATTTATTCGTGATTTGATTCTGAGCTTCGACAATTCGATGTATTCCCTCCTTCTCGTTGCATCCATTTCTGTAAGTTTTGGTCCGTTTCCATGAACTAATCTAAGGCTAAAACCTTTGTGATTTTTGGTGGTGGCATTGTTATCAATAGCATGAATGATTTGTTAATAATAATTATTAGTGAAAAATAGGCTAATTTTTTTGTATTAGACATTGAAGCTAGTTGTTGAAGGAAAATGTATCAGTGCAAACAAGTGGTGTTTTATATTGATTGAAATTTGCATATAGTACTGCTTAACTATGGTATATTTAAACATCATGATTATTTAATATTATAATTATTATTCTGGTCAAAAAAATATATATTATAATTATTATTACCATATTATGTAAATTTTTTTTTTTTAATTTATTTGGTGAAATAATCTTCTATGATCTTATATTTCCTTTTTAGGTGGGAGTTTTTTTTTTTTTTAATTTTTTTAATTTTTACTTTTTTTTTTTACAACTAAGACTCTGATCTTTTGAGTAGTTGTGGTATAAACTGCTTTGTTAAAATCTGCTTTACTTTGCTGGGTCTTGCATTGCTTCAATATTGAAATTTTTAGAACTTTCTACGCCCGGAAAAAAATTGCCGAGATATTTACCATGGTCCCTAATACCCTCAGCGAATCCAATTAGGTGGGTGAAACCATCCAATTTGCCTTAAAATGGTCAATTTACCCGTTCACAACTTGCACCGATTTCGTGAACTCAAACCTACCACGGACATTTACGACAACATTTAATGGTCATATATGGTTCCAAACGGCATTATATGACCCTGAGATGTATCCCCTAGAGCCTCAAAACTTTTCGCCACCGGGTCCCGTAACCTCCGAAATTCCTTAAAAAGCGTGGATAATAGCCTTTAATTTTGGAATTTTTTGACCTTTTTTCGCTCGAAAATAAAAATTTCCGAGATGTTTACCATGGTCCCTAATACCCTCTGGGAGTCCAATTAGGTGGGTGGAACCATCCAATTTGCTTTAAAACGGTCAATTTACCCGTTCACAATTTGCACCAATTTCCTGAACTCAAGCCTACCGCGGACATTGATGACAAAATAAAATATTCATTTATGGTTCCAAATGGCATTATATGATCCTAAGATATATCCCCTAGGGCCTCAAGACTTTTCTCTACCGGTTCCCGTAACCTCCGAAATTCCTCAAAAAGCGTGGATAATAGCCTTCAATTTTGGAATTTTTTGACCTTTTTCGCCCGGAAATAAAAATTGTCAAGAAGTTTACCATGGTCCCAAATACCCTCCGGGAGTACAATTAGGTGGTTAGAACAATCCAATTTTCCTTAAAATGATCAATTTAACAGTTCACAACTTGCACCGATTTTGTAAACTCAAGCCTACCACATACATTTATGACAACATTGAATGGTCTTATATGGTTCCAAATGGCATTATATGACCCTGAGATGTATCCCCTAGGGCCTCAAGAATTTTCGCCACCTGGCCCCGTGACCTTCGAAATTCCTAAAAAGCGTGAATTATAGCCTTTAATTTTGGAATTTTTTGGACCCTTTTTCGCCCAAAAATAAAAATTTCCGAGATTTTTATCATGGTGCCAAATACCCTCCGAGAATCCAATTTGGTGGTTGGATCCATCCAATTTGCCTTAAAACGGTCAATTTACCTATTCACAACTTGCATAGATTCGTGAACTCAAGCCTACCACGGATATTTATGACAAAATTAAATGGTCATATATGGTTCATAATGGCATTATATGACCCTAAGATGTATCCCCTAGGGCCTCAAGACTTTTCGCCACCGGGCCCCGTGACCTCCGAAATTCCTCAAAAGCATGAATAATAACCTTTAATTTTGGAATTTTTTGACCCTCTTTCGCTCAGAAATAAAAATTGCCGATATGTTTAGCATGGTACCAAATATCCTCCTGGAGTCCAATTAGGAGGGTGGAACCATCCAATTTGCCTTAAAACAGTCAATTTACCAGTTCACAACTTGCACCGAATTCGTGAACTCAAACCTACCACAGACATTTATGACAATTAATGGTCATATATGGTTCCAAACGAAATTATATGACCCTTAGATGTATCTCCTACGGCCTCAATACTCTTTTCCACAGAGCCTCGTGAACTCCAAAATCACTCAAAAGTGTGAATAATAGCCTATAATTTTGGAAATTTTTTACCTTTTTTTGCCCAGAAATAAAAATTTCCGAGTTGTTTAGCATGGTCCTAAATATCCTCCGGGAGTCCAATTAGGTGGGTGAAACCATCCAATTTACCTTAAAACGGTCAGTTTACTTGTTGACAACTAGCAACGATTTCGTGAACTCAAGCCTACCACAGACATTTATGACAAAATTTAATGGTCATATATGGTTCCAAATGGCATTATATGACCCTGAGATGTATCCCCTAAGGCCTCAAGACATTTCGCCACCGGGCCCCGTGACGTTCAAAATTCCTCAAAAGCGTGAATAATAGCCTTTGATTTTGGAATTTTTTGACCGTCGCTCTTTCGCCTGGAAATAAAAATTGCTGAGATGTTTAACATCGTCCCAAATACCCTGTGGGAGTTTAATTAGGTGGGTGGAACCATCCAATTTACCTTAAAACGGTCAATTTATCTGTTCACAACTTGCACTTATTTCGTGAACTCAAGCCTACCACGGACATTTATGACAACATTTAATGGTCATATATGGTTCCAATTTACATTATATGACCCTGAGATTTATCCCTAGAGCCTCAAGAATTTTTGCCACCGGGCCCCGTGACTTCCGAAATTCATTAAAAGCGTGAATAAAAGTCTTTAATTTTGGAATTTTTTTACCTTCTTTCCCCCGAAAATAAAAATTTCCGAGATGTTTTTCATGTTCCCAATTACCCTCCCTGAGTCCAATTAGGTGGGTGGAACCATCCAATTTTCTTTAAATTGGTCAATTTACCTATTCACAACTTGCACCGAATTCGTGAACTCAAACCTACCACAGACATTTACGACAACATTTCATGAACATATATAGTTCCAAATGGAATTATATGACCCTAAGATGTATCCCTATGGCATCATGAATTTTTGCCACCGAGCCCCGTGACCTTTGAAATTCCTCAAAAGCGTGAATAATAGCCTTTAATTTTGAATTTTTTTTACCTTTTTTCGCCCGGAAATAAAAATTACCGAGATGTTTAGCATTGTCCCAAATATCCTAAGGGAGTCCAATAATTAGGTTGTTGGAACCATACAATTTTCCTTAAAACGGCCAATTAACCAGTTCACAACTTACACCAATTTTGTGAACTCAAGCCTACCAAAGACATTTATGAAAAAATTTAATGGTAATAATATATGGTTCCAAATGGCATTATATGACCCTGAGATGTATCCCCTAGGGCCTCAAGACCTTTCACCACCGGGCCCCGTGACCTTCGAAATTCCTCAAAAACGTGAATTATAGCCTTTAATTTTGGAATTTTTTGACCTTTTTTTGCCAAAAAAAAATTGCCGAGATATTTATCATGGTCCCAAATATCCTCCGGGAGTCCAATTTGGTGGTTGGATCCATCCAATTTGCCTTAAAACAGTCAATTTATCTGTTCACAACTTGCACCGATTTCATGAACTCAAGTCTACCACGGACATTTATGACAACATTTAATGGTCATATATGGTTCCAACTAGAATTATATGTCCCTGAGATGTATCCCCTAGGGTCTTTTAACTTTTTGCCACCAGGCCCCGTGACCTCTGAAATTCCTCAAAATCGTGAATAATAGCCTTTAATTTTGGAATTTTTTGACCTTTTTCCGCCTGGAAATAAAAATTTTCGAGATACTTAGTATGGTCCCAAATACCCTCGTGGAGTCCAATTAGGTGGGTGGAACCATCCAATTTGCCTTAAAACATTCAATTTACCAGTTCACAACTTGCATAAAAATTCGTGAACTCAAACCTACCACGGACATTTATGACAACATTTAATGGTCATATTAGGTTCCAAATTACATTATATGACCCTTAGATGTATCTCCTAGGGCCTAATTCTTTTCGCCACCGGGCCTCATAACCTCCGAAATTTCTCAAAAGCGTGAATAATAGCCTATAATTTTAAAAAAAATTGACTTTTTTCGCCTGGAAATAAAAATTGCCAGAAGTTTAGCATGGTCCAAAATATCCACGGGAGTCCAATTTGGTGGGTGGAACCATCAAATTTTCCTTAAAACGTACGGTCAATTTATCTGTTCACAACTTGCACCGATTTCGTGAACTCAAGCCTACCACGGACATTTATGACAACATTTAATTGTCATATATGGTTCCAAATGGAATTATATGACCTTAAGATGTATCCTCTAGGGTCTTTAGACTTTTCACCACCGGGCCCCATGACCTCCGAAATTCCTCAAAATCGTGAATAATAGCCTTAATTAATTTTGGAATTTTTTGTCCTTTTTTCGCCCGAAAATAAAAATTAACGAGAAGTTTAGAATGGTCCCAAATACCCTCCGGGAGTCCAATTAGGTGGGTGGAACAATCCAATTTTTCTTGAAACGGTCAATTTATCTGTTCAGAACTTACACCGATTTCGTGAACTCAAGCCTACCACGGACATTTATGACAACATTTAATGGTCATATATGGTTCCAAATAGAATTATATGTCCCTTAATGTATCCCCTAGGGTCTTTAAATTTTTCGCCACCAAGCCCCGTGACCTCCAAAATTCCTCAAAATCGTGAATAATAGCCTTTAATTTTGGAATTTTTTTGACCTTTTTCCGCCCGGAAATAAAAATTTCCGAGATTTTTAGCATGGTACCAAATACCCTCCAGGAGTCCAATTATGATGGTGGAACCATCAAATTTTCTTAAAATGGTAAATTTACCAGTTCACAACTTGCACG